TGGTCTAAAAGTGTTTGATAAAAGGTGGTTTGGTATGCAAATGGGGAGATGAGTGGAGGTAAAGAATAGAATGGACTATTTGTGATAGGGCTTGAGTGGATAAGAGTAAAAGCTAAGGGGAACTATGGTGTTTTAGTGAGAAGTTAGAGGTTGGGGCCAGAAAATGAGACAGATGGAGGGAGGTAGTGAAGGTTGGAAGTAGAGGAAGCGATAGAGGGAAATGATGGTAGTGGATGTTGAGGTTGGAAGGAGTACAGGTGATGAAAGGAATTTTGATTTGCATACCTTAGAGTGAAAGGAAGGTATTTTGGTTTGCATAGCTTAGAACGAGTGGGAGCTCTAATTGGTTACCGTTAGAAATGGTTTGGAAAATCTGGGTATATAACAGAATTTTTCCTAACTTTGGTCTATTATTTAGGTGGGACCCGTACGCCAAATTTGGCGAGTCTAAGTGGTAACGCGTTCTATGTCACGTTGTGATTCACGTGGTATATTTGGTTGCTCAAAACCATTATCAAGTGAATGGGAAATTGAAGCCAAAGTGTGCTCCATGGAAATGGAGTTTTGGTGAAAAATGGCTTGTCCCACATTGATTTGGTGGGAAGTTTTGAGTGGGTTTATAAGGCCTGGGATTGGAACTTAGGGTGTGCCCCAAGGGGTACCCAAGTTTTGTAGAGAGAGAGGTTATGGGCAAAATGGGCTAGACCCATTGGACCCAAAAATCACCACACACGCGCGCCGCCGTCGCTGTCCGTCCGGTCGGGCGGGTGGGCTGGGCTTGGGCACGGGTGCGTGGTGTGAGGTTGGGCTTGTCCGGCCCAATACTAATCTTTTTGGGTCAAAAACATTTGAATTTTATTTTATTTATTTATAAATAAAATCTGTCCGTTTTTATTTCAAATTTTGGTTGGAAATAAAATTCAAATTTTTTGTTTGCACCTCTTCAGAAATTCTGCACAGTTTCGGATCTGTCCCAACTGAATCTGTTCAAATTCAAATCCACCCAAAACAGGTTTTTGAATTGTTTGAAATTCAAACCAAACAGTGCCTACAGATTTTGTATCTGTTTAATTTAAATTGAACAGGTATTGTACCTGTTTAATTCAAAATTAGTAGCCACCAAGCCACCATTTCACCTATATAAATAGGCAATCCCTTATTTGGTTTTTTACAATAATTTTCGTACTTCTTCTCTGCTAAAATTCTTTGCATTTTGCTGCATATATTTTCTATGAGAAAGAGCATAAACACTTAGTGTGTTCGTTGGGCAAACAATTTGTAGTGCTGCTATTGTTTGCTGTTGATCATTTCATCTTGGGAGACAGACGTCCACATTCTGAAAGCACCGTGGAGAGGACGAATCTGTTTTAAGGACACAGTGTCGAACACTGGACTTGATCAGAATATTATTCAAGAAATTAATCAAGTAAGTTGGTTATTTATTTTCTGTTTTATTTATTTATTTAATCAGATTTTGATTTTGTTTTTGTAACAAAATAAAATCTGTTTTTATTTATTTTATTTTATTTTCCTGGTTTGATTTTTGTAATCAAACAATTCTCTCCTTTTTCTTTTATTTCTTATATATTCTGTTTGTTGTTAAGTACACAACATAATTAATTTTACAAATGCAGTAAAGATTGTCCAACAGTTCCCAATGTGTCAATGTGGCAGAATCAATCCATAAACTAAACAGGTATTGGTTTTAGAATAAAATTTAAAAATTAATCCATAAATTAGACAAACATTCGTTTTAGAATAAAATTTAAAAATAACAACTTTAAGATTGATAACGAAAAAAATAAATTAAGAGTTAAAAATATTAAAAAGTTAAAAAAAAGAAAAAAGAAAAAGAAAAGGCTTAACTACAAAAGGGTGCTCTCTGGAGTTAGACGCTAAGGAGCTGAGGCTCCAGACATCATCTTTAAGTGGTGCTACATAGCAGAGTTACTCAACCATATAGCGGTAAGTTATGAACTCACACATAGGCAAGAATTTGAGTCTATATTCCGGACACTGGGTACAATTCACCCAGGTCTAGAAGGTTCATCCTATCAACCGTATGTGTTATCATTCGAGTAACTGATTCTGGAGAGATTGAAACCTAAAATCTCAAAATTTATGCCTCAAAATTTAAATACTAAAAGGTATATTTCACGCTTTTTAAAACGTTTTTACCAAAGCAAAGTGGAGATGTAAAATGTTTTTACCAAAGCAAAGCGGAGATGAAAAATGAGAGCTCACGACTTCAAAACCATACGCAATCAGCAAGGGCGCCGTCATTCAAAATTTTGGATTTTTTTTATTGTCACAGAAGATGAGAGATTTCTCAATAACGGACTGAATTGTCTCAAATTATAAAATTGAATTGCACCGTATAGTCCAGCCCATTTATAGCTTATTTTAGATTAATCTCAATGATTTAAATTATTTAATGTGTAAAATTCATCGAAAATTTTATTCTTATAAAAATTTACGTCGGTCAGATATTGATAGTCACTTAATAAATTTATATTTTTGTCACTAATTTTTTTTAAAATCATGTTTGCCGTTGACATATATGTGAACTAATCAAGTGACTATCGATATCTGATTAATGTAATTTTTAGTAAAAATGAAATACTCGACGAGTTCTATATATTGAACAAGTCAAATTATCAATTTAAATTCCTTGATGGGCCCACAGAGACTTAATAATATAATCCAATCCAATTAAGAGTGGAGACAAATCTAGACCTTTCAATAATTCTGGTATTGTTGGAAGTGTTAGTGTACATATTCTAAGAGATATATCTAGTATGTATTTAAAATTTGAAAATTGTTTGAGGGCCCGAAATCATTGGCTCGAATTTGGCTCGAAACCCAAAACGACGTCGTTTTGGGTTTCATTTTTTTCTTTTTTTTCTTTTTCTTCCTTTTCTTGCTTTTTTTTTCTTTTTCTTCGTTTACCTATTTTTGAACAAAGACACAAAGTCGAGAGAGAGAAAGAAAAGAAGAGAAAAGAAAATGAAGAGAGAAGAAGGAGAAAAGATGGGGAGAAGAAGGAGGAAGAGAAGAAGACGGTGATGGCGGTGATCGGAGTCGGATCTGATTCTTTTTCTTTTTTTTTTGGGCTGATGATGATGTGTTGATGATGATAATGTTGATGACGATGTTATTGATGATGATGATGATGTGTTGATGATTGTTGATTTTTTTTTTTTTTTCTAGTGGATCTGAAGATGTTCAAAAATCTGTGAAACCGAGGAAGAAGAAGAAGAAGAAGAAGAAGAATAAAAAATCAGGAAGAAGAAGAAGAAAAGAAAAATGGAAAAGAAGATGTTCCCTCAACTTTTTTTTCTAGTGGATCTGAAGATGTTCAAAAATCTGTGACACAGATGTTGATTCTTCTTCGTCCCATTTCTGCCCACGCTAGCTATTTTTTTTTTTTGTTGTTGTTGGATGAAGATAGATGTTCCTTTTTTTTTTTTTGTTGATTCTTCTTCTTCCACTTCTCTTTTCTTCTTCTTCTTCTTCGTCTGTTTCTGCTTGTTCTTCATCATCTTCAAAACAGTAAGAAAGAAAAAAGAAAAGAAAAAAAAAAAATCCAAAACGACGTCATTTTGTATTCGAGACAAATTCGAGCTTGAGAATTTCGGGCCCTATAGTAGCTTTGTTAAAAATTTAATTACAATTGTTTATAATTTTTATTAATTTTATTTATAAAAAAATTAGATTAGTTAACAACAAAAATACCATCGAAATCTTATTACTAAAGTTATCTTGATTCATAACAAAACTCCTCAAAACCCATTTCATAAGTAATATAACAAATTCTCATATAAAAAATAAAAATAAAAACATAAACATAAACATAAACAAAAACAAAAATCAATTTTGAAAATAAATAAATAAACATAACAAAATTTTCAAATCAAAACCAATTTACATCACAACAAAAAATAATTTAATCACCACAAAATTTTATAATTAATACCATCATGATTTATAATTACAATTACAAAAATTTATAACTAAAGTGTGTTACATATTTTGAAGGGGTGTGTCGACTTTCATGTTGTATTTGGTTACCGGATTTAAGGAAAGATTTAGAAAAGCAAATGGAAAAAATAGATAAAATGTGAATAAAATATGTACATTTTACCTAATTTCACACACTTTTTCTCTTTTTCTTTTTAAATTCCTCCCTAAATCCTCTAATCAAATACAACGTCAATGTATTTTTTTTTTTCAACTATATGTTTAAGAATTAGTTAGGTTTTTCTCAAATTGTGCTAAAGTTTAAATTTAGGGTAAATCACAAATACACTTTTGAGATTTGTTTAAAATACAAATTGTCTCTTATAGTTTGAAAATTTTCAAATACCCCCTTATTAGAATTTTTTATTTAACAGAATTAATTAAAAAAATAAAATTCATAATTGATTTCCTATATAATAATAAAATAACTTAAATTATTAATTGAAACATATTTTTAACATCATTAAACACTGTTAATTGACTTGATAATTTATTAATAAAATAGACAATTTGTTATGAAATTAAAAATCTCGTGGGTGGAATGTAATTTTCAAAACTATCAGGGACGATTTTGTATTTTAATCAAATTTCAAGGAGTGTATTTGTAATTTACCCTTAAATTTAAATTTGAAAGAATTTGAGAGATCATGAGATTCATTACAATTTAAATCGTTTATTTTATAAGATTTTTAATACATATCATTCATACAAAAAAATCAAATCAATTAGATATTCACAAAATATTTTTATTTATCATATTTGTTCAGAAAAAATAATATATTTTTTTAAACAAACTATTAATGTCTATTGGAGACAAACACAATAAAATAAATATTATAATTATTTGATAAACTTAATTTTTTTTGTAAATAAAACTTAATTTTTTTTGTAAATAAAATATAAATTTATTATTATTATTTTTTCTATAAATCAAATCAAAATCAAAATCAAAACTTAACCACGATTAGCCCAACAAGCTCGTAAAATTTTATCAAATTTAGATCTACACTTATGTGAAGCACACAACAAGCCTCTCAAATGCCTCTTACGCTCTTTCCTCTCTACTTTTATTTCTCTATTGCTCTTTCGCGGATTAGATTCGAATTCGTCAGTGAAATTTAACTTTTGTATCTATTTAGATTCGAATTCGTTGCATTCTACCCCTATAACCCAATTTGATCATCTCGCGATGTTTTGAGATCACCGTTTTTGATTTCCCAGTCTCTCAAACTTTCCCTTGCTTTGCTTTGTTTTTGCTTTGTTTTAGACTCTCTTTGCTTTGTTTTAGACTCTCTCTCTCTCTCGCTTATAACATACATGCCCACCGAAGATTGTTGCATTTCTTCTTTAATAATTCGAAGCTTAAACCTCAAGCATCCGTTCTTCAGTGTAATCGAGTTCAATTTCTGTTCATTCATGTTATTTTTTATACCCTTTTTTGCCCCCAAAGAATTTGGTAATCATTATTCGGATTTCCAATCTGTAGAATATAAAATATAAAGGAAAATGGGTGGAGGTGGGGGTAGAGTAGAGGTGACAAGCAGCACGGGATGTTCGAGGCTGTTTGGGGACATTTCGTCTTCATTGTCGTCATTCAGAGGTCTGCAACCCTTTGAGCCAATGTCCCCTGCTTCTGCATCCTTCTCCTCTGCGGTGTCTGAATCGGCGGTGGTTCGATCAACAACAACAACTGGTCCCTTTTCTGGTCTTGTTATATGCGTTACTGGACTATCCAAAGGTATGTCATGTCATGTCATGTCATGTACAACATATTTATTATCATTCAGTTTATTGGTTTGTTTGTCGCAGCAAGGTTGCTCATGCTTACCTAGTTCCTACCCAGAGGTTTTTTTTGGCTACTCATTTCTTTTCTTCCTTTTGGGATTTTTTTTTTTTTTTAATATACTGGACATTTCCTTTTATTTTATGCACGATCAGCATTTACATAAAGGCAATGTATTGATACAAAGAACCTGTAGAATAGGCTACATCCTTGTGAAAAATCGCAAGGTTTTCATTGTGGGTTGTTGCGAATCTGTCGGCACAGCTTAATTCCTCTGACATATTGCTTCATCTACTTGTTCTTTTGATACACATATTATATAAAGCATCTTTGTTCTCGTTTGAGCAGTTAATTTTGATGCAATTTACGTTTTTGTTTAATGACTGGATTTGCAGAAGCAAGGAAACAAGTCAAGGATGCTACAGAAAGATTGGGTGGCCGGTATAGCCCCAATTTGCATCCTCAATGTACACACTTGGTAGTTCAGATATCCTTATTATTATTATTATTATTATTATTATTATAGGCCTGTTAAGTATATGCTAGTTTTCTTGTTGTTATGTTTACATGGATAGCTGCTTTAAGTTTGGCAGAATTGGTGAATTTTACCATGGAGCTACCTCGATAGAAATGTTACAATCATTGCTTGTTGGGTTAATAAGAGAGACAAAACAAAGGAAAAAGAAACAATAAACTTGATTGGCTATAAATTACAATATCTAATTTGGTGTTGTCTTCCTTGTATGATTTTCTTTTGATTGGAATTATGTCATGTATATCAAATTTATGTCAGGATGGACCTTCTCAAAATACCTTTTGGGTTTTGCTATCAATTGAAATTTCTGATGGGCTCCCAAGCATGCTTTTGTGAACTCTTAACAACTTTTACAGCTTTTGTGGACGTAAGCTTGAGCATGCTCTGAAGCATGGATTGAGAAATGGCCTCTTTGTCGTCATACTTGGGTGGTTTGTGGATAGTGTCAGAAGGAATGGTAAGAGTTTGCAATTTCTGTGATTGGTATTCAATGGTTAGAATAACTTCAGTTTATCGTAAAAATTTGCTCTTGTTTTATATCACCTTTGTGCAACATGTCATCATCTAAGAAATACAGACCCGTGACATGATGACACAAACTTGTTGACACATACATTTTTAAAAACTGTAGGACACGATACGTGGAGAACACGTGCAAAATGTAATTTATATATATTTATAATATATCATATATGAGGATAAATATATATTAATATTTAATTTAAAGATAACAACAAAATGCAATTTAACACTAATAAAAATTAAAGGAGGAGAATAGGTATAAATTTACATTGCTTTTCTTTTATCATTAGATTTCTAGTTATTTTATTCAAACTTGTAATGTGTTTCATGTGTGTAAATGATAGACTCATGTTCTCCAAGTGTATGAAGCATGTCTGAGTTTAGAATTTTTTTAAAAAGTAGTAGGTCATGTTTGGATGTGTCCAATAGATGCTGAGAAATGTCCGATAAGTGTCATGTCGTGTTGGTATCTGACACGGGGTCCAACATGACACGGTACCTTCTTGCAAGTCTATGTGCTTCTTAGGTCATCATTGATGCTCATATTAGTAATTGTGAATGTTGGTATATAAATTTTGGCCTTAGGTGTGTTACTTGTTATGAATGATTTTCTAAATTTATTGGTATTCCCTTTTCTTCCTTCTTCGGTTCGGTATTATGATCCAAACTAAACTAAGCCTTATATCTCAATCAGATGGGGTCGGCTAGATGAATTATTTTCTGCCATTAGACTTTGTGAAGGGTTGCACGCTCATTTGAATTAAAGAAATTCATATCATTTTTTACTACCACAACCCATATTAGTTTAGGTCTTTTCCTTCCCCTTGAATATTTCTTTTATGATAATCATATAACTCTTTCGTATCATGGCATCTACACGTATTCGCTATATGTGCATGACCGAACCACCTTACTCTGTTCTCTCTCAATTTGTTCTCAATCAGTGTAGTCCTACCATTTCACAAATATACTTATTTCTAACTCTATCTTTCTTGGTCTTCCTGCACATCCATCTAAGCATTTTCATTTTGGCTACATTCTTTTTATCACAAGGCATCACTGGTCTTATAACTATTTATAAATTTTTTACTTCAATTTTGTTGGTATCTGTTAATCACTTAATATGCCAGAAGTACTCATCCTCTTGAACCAACCTAATTTGATTATATAGGTCAACATAATCTCCAAGATCTTCATCCTTATTAACAATCAAACTTAGGTAACAAATTTTTCCACTCCATTATTTTACTTCTTTTTAAATTAAAGTTACGTTCCATATATCAAGTTTTTGTCATACTTAATTGTAGCTCTTTTGACTCAAATTCTTCCCTCCAGATTTCTAGTTTAGCGTTAATTCCTTCAATAGTTTCTTCCACTACAACAATATTATTTGCAAACAACATACACCATGAGACATCATTCCGAACACATTTAGTTAATTCATCCATGACTAAGGTAAATAGGTAAGGACTGAAAGTTGATCCTAAGTGCAATCTTATAGTTAATAAAAAGTCATTAGTTTTGCTTGCAAATGATTTAATTTTAATTGTAGTCCCATAATACGTTTCCTTTGTCACATCAATATCCCTTTTGTCACACATTTTTTTCTCCATCACCCGCTATATTATATCTCTAGGCACTCTATCGTAAGCTTTTTATAAATGTATAAAAACCGTATGAAGATCCATTATATTCTCTCTATAGTTTTCAATTAATCTTCTTCATATATTGCTTTCATAGTTGATCTACTGGGTTGGGCATTAATCCAAACTGATTCTCTAACACTATTATTGCGACTTTTAAGTAATGCTCAATCACTCCCACCCACAGTTTCATTCTATGATTCATCAACGTAATGCGTCTATAATTGTTGCAATTTTGGATATCTCTCTTAGCTCTCCTAGTTTTTAATTTATCTCAATATTCTGATCACGGTCCCTTTAATTCTTGGTTGATGAGTCATATGGCTGCTAAAGTATCCTCTTTGGAATATTTAACTGGCTGTTTTGTGCTTTGCTAGTGACCTTCTGTTCTCCTATATTGTGACTAAAGCTGAACCCTTTCCTGTTTGTTTGTTTGTTATAGAAGATGCTTATTCTTTTCATGAATTTGAAGAAAAATCTTATCTTTGAGGAATTTTTAATTAAATGTGAAGCAACCCATAATATCCTTGTTGCATTAATCACACCTTGTTGCTTTATTTTATTTTATTTTTTCTGTTGCAGTCAGGTTGAGTGAATCACTTTATACTGTAAAGAGCATTGGAGAAAATGGTATGCCTATGGATGATCTGAACCGGCTTTCTCAGTTTGTTGGTTCTGAGACTTCTTGTCTTCCAGTTGCAATACATGAACATGCCAAGCAATCTGGCATGGCTGTGCCATTTCCAGAAAAGGAGTCTAAAAGAAGTGTGGAGTCAACTCTGTCTGGTCACTCCTTATATATTGATTCAGACATTTCCCCTGAATTGCATCGTAAGGTAGACTTGAATTGAAACACCATTTTGTATACTTTTTATGGAGATAAGAGTTGTATTTCAAACTGTAGCTTATCCACGTCCATGATAATCATCTTATCATTCCATTTGTATTTATCTTTACTTTCTTGTATCTTCTCTACTGTGGCTATATACTCTGAGGTGTATAAATATCACAGCTATTCTACATTTGTAAACACACTGAAATATTTATTGAATAAAATGTCAGATGCTGTTTCGGATTTGTTCTAACTTGGCATCAGAGCCAAAATGGCGTCAATTATTTCTTCTTCCAGTGCTGCTTCTTCAACCTCAGCCCTCTCTTTGTTGACTGTGGCCTCTTCTCCTCTTGTTTCACTCACCCATGCTCACCACTTCATTTCCCTTAAACTAGCGTCCAAAAACTTCCTATATTGGAAAACTCTGCTCCTTCCCTACCTCCATGGCCAGCAACTTTATCACTATATTGACGGTTCCTTCCCGTGTCCCTCATCGACCACTGTTGCTGATGGTACTTCTACACCCAATCTGGACCATTCTCTTTGGGAAAGTCAGGACCAACTCATACTGAGACTTCTCATTGTTTCCCTCTCGGAAGAAATATTACCTCTTACTGTTGGATGCACTACCTCCCGTGAACTATGGCTCACTGTTGAGCAATCCCTTGCTTCTCCATCTCAGACTCGTCTTCTCAAACTTCATTTGTGATCACTTACCGCAAAATAATCGCACTGCTACTGTGTTTCTTCATGAAGCCAAGGTTATTGCCGATGAAGTTGCCGCTGCCACAAAGCCTCTCTTTTCATCCGAGTTCAATTTGAATGTCTTTAAAGGCCTCAACACCGCCTTTAAGGACCTCATCACAACCCTTACTACTCGCTCGGACCCTATTTCATTTTCTGAACTACATAGTATGGTCTTAAGTCATGAATTACCAAGATTCATCACCTTCCTTGACCACCGCTACTCCTGAGGTTCACTTTGCTCGCCCCACTTCCCAAGGTTGTTCCCGGGGTGGTCCCCTCATGGTCATGGTCAATGCTGTGGCCACAACAAATTCCATGCCTCTGGTTCTTGGCCCTCTTCACACAGGTCTGGTTCATCTTATGGTGGTCTTGGTATCCTTCCCACTCCCACTGGTAACTGTTGAGTTCACTGTCAACTCTGCAATCTACCCAATCATACTGCCCCACAGTGTTATCACCGGTTTGATTGATCTGTTGCTCTAGGTGCCCATTTTACCACCTATGGTTCTGGTTCACCATCTCCTGCTTATGGTGGTCTTGGTTCTTCTGCCCCTTCATGTTGGACTAGTTTCCTGACACCAGTGCCACTTACCATGTCACACCGGATCTAGCAACTCTCTTCAATGTTGATGACTATCATGGTTCCTCTCACCTTCAGGTTGGCAATGTTATGGATCTTCCCATTATACATTGGTTCCTTCACTCTTTGTTCTCTCTCTTCTTCTTTCCATCTTTCATCTATTCTTCATGTTCCCACATTTGTTAAATCTCTACAATCTGTCTATCAATTTACTAAAGATAATAATGTTTTCTTTGAATTTTATCCCTCTCATTTTTCGGTTAAGGACCAAGTCTCCAAGAAAACTCTACTACAAGGCAAGAATAAAGGTGGTCTTTACTGGTTCTCTTCCTCAACCTACTCCATCTGCCCTCTCTTCTGAAGTTGTGTCTCTTGATTGTTGGCATCGGCATCTTGGTCATCCGCATGATGTGTTCTTTGTCAAGTCCTTAAGTCTCATCATCATCTGCTTGTCAAGAATAAAAATTCTTCTGGCGCCCTCTGTCTTGCTTGTCAACTTGGCAAGTTCACTAGACTCCGTACCGACTTCTACTAGTCGTTGTATGGCTCCCTTAGATTTAGTGTTTAGCGATGTATGGGGCCCTTCCCTAGTTCTTTCAAGTACTGGTCACAAGTTTTTTTTTTAATTTTAATTTTTTATTTATTTATTATTATTTATGATTATTCAAAGTTTATTTGGTACTTTTCTCTTTTCCATAAATGTGATGGTTTTACCCTTTTTCCCAAATTCAAGCCTTGGTTGTACAAACAGACTGGGGTGGTGGATATGGCAAACTTCATTCCTATTTCCAAACACTAGAAATCATTGACCGCTTGTCCTGTCCACTTACTTATGAGCAGAATGACCTAGTTGAATGCTGCCATCATATTGTTGAAACCGGCCTAGCCCTTCTTCCTCATGCCTCTGTGCCACAGAAATTATGGCATTTTGCTTTCAAAACTGCAGTTTACCTCATTAATCGCATGCCATCCAAGGTTATTCAAAATATATCTCCTCCCCAGTGTCTTCTTTCCAAATCTCTAGACAACAAATTTTTTAAAATTTTTGGTTGTCTTTGTTTTCCATTTATCTGACCTTATAACGGACACAAAATCTCATTTTGCTCTTCCCCTTGTGTTTTTCTTGTGTATAATCTATCTCATCTCGGTTATCGTTGTCTCCACTTCTCAAATGGTTGCATCTACATTGCTCGACATGTACACTTTGATGAATCTCAGTTCCCTTTTGCCTAGTCATCTGTTCACGGTGCTTCTTTCTTTATCTGTCCTGCACCTACCTCCAGTCTATATGCCACTTTTCCCATTCACGATCCTTTTCTCCCATTTTCGGTGCTTCGGCTCCCCCTCTTACCTCCCCACTTTCACCTGGGTCATCCTCCCTCTCTTCTCCCGTACTTCTGAAACTTTGCTCTCCTGCACGCACATGAGTTTCTTTTACACCACAGCCTGCTACTTCTGTCTCTCCCTCAACCAGCGTCAGTTTCTCCTTCCACCTATGCCTCAACCACATCACCATCCACACCTTCCCTTTTTCCCAGCTCCAGTGGTCTTAATCTTGTCGCCGGCCTCAATTCTCCGGTCCTACCTCGCTTTGCTCCTCACCAAACTCACCCCATGATCCTTCGACATATGTCCTCCAAACCAGTGGCATTACTCACTGCCTCCTCTTCTGTTTCTGATGATTCTGTTGAACCTACCTGTTTTAACACCACCAATAAGTCTCCTGCTTGGCGTCAGGCCATGTTTGATGAGCTCATTGCTCTTTTCTGAAATGGCACTTGGAGTCTACATCCGGTCACACCTGGTATGAATGTTGTGGGCTGTAAATGGGCTTTCCGAATTAAATGGTGAGCAAACTCCTATGGCTATTCCACTGCCACTAAACTTACCTCCGCTCAAGGAACTCCTATGGCTGACCCCACCCATTACAGGATGGTGGTTGGTTCGCCTCAATATCTGACATTGACCAGGCCGGATATTTCGTTTGCTGTCAACTGAGTGTCAACATATGCACTGCCTAACATCTTAAGCACACATCTCAGTTTGGTCTCCTACTTCAGTCCACATCTACCACTCGGCTCCAAGCTTTTTCGGATGCCGACTGGGCTGGTTGTGTTGATGACTGCAAATCCACAGGTGGTTACGCTGTTTTCCTTGGTTCTAATTTGATTTCTTGGGCCTCTCATAAACAGCAAACCGTGGCTCGCTCCTCCACTCAATCTGAGTACAGAGCCTTGGCCAATACATTCGCTAAAATCTCGTGGCTTCAATCGTTGTTGACTGAACTTGGCGTTCCCTTATTTGCTCCACCAATTTTGTGGTGTGATAATCTCGGTGCTACCTATCTTGCTGCCAACTTGATCTTCCATGCTCGCACTAAACACGTTGAAATTGACTTTCATTTTGCAAGGGAAAAAGTTGCCCGCAAAGTTCTCCAAATTCAGTTTTTCTCCACCAAGTATCAGGTTGTGGACATTTTCACCAAAGTCTTACCCTCTCAGTCATTCCAATTTTTCCGTGACAAGCTGCAAATTTGCCGATTGGAATGTTCAGCTTGAGGGGGCTGTTGAGATAAGAGTTGAAATTCAAATTGTAGCTTATCCATGTCCATGATAATCATCTTATCCTTCCATTTGTATTTATCTTTACTTTCTTGTATCTATCTCTATTGTGGCTATATACTCTGATGTGTATAAATATCACAGCTATTCTACATTTGTAACCACAAAGAAATATTTATTGAATAAAATATCAGTTGCTGTTTCAGATTTGTTCCAATTCTTTTGATGCAAAATATGCTGCTTTCCTGTTGTTGAAAGCTATGTACGTGTTCCACTTTTATGCGAATTCCTCTGGAAACTTGAAGTAGAATTTGCTGTGTACATTGTTGGTGTGCGAGCTGTGGAACGAAGTATTTTTTTTTTATTAATTCAGACTAAAGCCTCCTGATTTAAGATGAATTAGGACAATATTGTTGCCTTTTGCACATGCCTGAGATGTGGATGTGTTGTGGTAGGTTGTCAAGGTTGCTGCTGCAGAAGGTGCTACATTTTTAAATAAATGGTTTGTTGGTTGCAACGCAAGCCATGTAGTGTGTGAAGGGGCTTCTGTACAAAAATATATTGGCCACTCTAGTAATCTTGTTTCAGTAAGTGCTATTCTTCTGCATTTGCATTTTCTTATGAATGAGTATTGTGTATTTGAATTTTGGAGAACAGACGGATTTGGACACATTAAAGATAATTTTGATGTTTGGACTGGTACTGTTATCACTTATCCCACATTATGAAATTTGGTTGATATTTCTATGTTTTTTTTGGTTGTCAAACACTTTTTGAATGATATATGATGTCGCCCTCAGCCACTGTGGGTTCTGAAAACTGCAAAAGAAAAACGTATGCAGAGGCTTGTTCACATGTCTGCTGATATGGCTCGGCAGGTTGGGATAATGCTTGACAATGCCCAAAATGGAATTTATGGAGAGGTATCCTCTATTCTTCCTTACTATTTTCCCTTTTTTTTCTTTTTCTTTATTATATATAGATGCTATGTGTTTTGATTCACTTGCGATTGTGAGGATGCATTCTTCTAAATCCAGGGAGGTTGTGTTTGATTTGTGGTTGAATTAGTTTGTTACTATGTCAGAAAACAAGGCATCAATATTTTTGGTTTCTTTTTCTTTGAACCACAAGAAACCATGTCTAATGCTTCCAAAGTTCTAATATTGTCATGCACTCCGTATATTTTGAAAAATAAAATGGAAGAGAAGTTTGTTGTTTAAAGTTGGCCAACGTAACTCAAAGCATGAAATAAAACCATATGTCGTTTCTAGTTGAATGCTGAGAACTACAATATATAGGTGTACTAGGTTTGTAGAGATCAACCGGTGGGAGATGTTGAGGGCATGCTCTTGAGTTTGTACAGGGACAAGTGGCCTTCTTTGTCTAGCCTAACATTCCACTAGTGGGAAAATGTCAACTGTAAGTGGAGCCTAAAGTTGCTGAGGATAGGGTCTCTCTCTCTCTATGCAAAGGCACAAGTTCCAAGGAGGCAAGTATTTTGACTAACTTTAAGCTTTAGAGTTCTTGCACGTTGGACACAAGGTAGTGCATGAATGCTTCATGGATTCAGTGCCAACTTCAAGGGGGATCTTAAGCCCTGCACTAGACTTACGGTTGTTGCAAGAGTATCAGGGTTCCATGGAGAGAAGGGGAGTTGAATAGGTCAAATGCATCACGGTGAATCTGATAGTGTCCTTGTGAAATTATCCTGGAGGAGGGTGAATAGGACAACCTAAATTGTTTACTATACTTCGTCTTAGTGGTCATTGTTTCTCAATTCTTTGCTCTATCTTAATTTGATAAAGTATTTCCTTCATCTTTTTACCATCAATTATTTTTATTTGTTGATTTTTCTGTGAAGGTCCAAATGTTTTAGCCTTATTAACAACTTGTTTTAGTCAAAATTACAAATTAATTGAAGTAAATCACTTAAGTCCAATGCAAGTTATATTTTCTTTTGTTAGCTACAAAGAAACGATATTATTAAAATAGATGAAAATAAGTACAAAAGGGATACAAACGAGGACAAGTCCTTCAAAAAGAAACATAAAATACAAAAACTACAAATCAGTAATCACAAATAGATCTCAAATCACTAAATTTTTAGATTTTTTTTCCAAAAAAATTCATTTCCAACCAAATTACCCAAACCACACAATTCCAAAGCTATTAGGCTTTGTTGTTAAGGCTAAACCCTCTAAAATCAATTTCCAACATTTGAACTCAAGAGGAAGGTAGAATCCAAACCCAACTTGGTTAGTTGCATTAATTCCACCACAAAGACAAAGCTAAACAACAACGCAAAATCAAATTATCACAACTCTCCTCATGCCTTCTACACACAATGCACAATTGAGAAAGTATAAACAATTAGGTCCCTTATTAAAACATGTCATTAGTGTTGAGTCTTTCATGAACCAAGGTTCATAAAAAAATCTTTGAATCATCTAAGCTTGTGAAAAAAGGATTTACAAGAGAATATGCCAAATGAATAAATGGACCATGAACGTTTGTCAGTTGCATCAAATCTCAAAGAGATGCCCTCAAGAGTCAATAACAACGAAGCAAGGCCATTGGCCTCGTATAATTAAGATTTCTGAAAATTTAGAAATTCCAAGCAATCAGAATGGAATAAAAAGAAATCGTGGATGCAATAGACATTATGAGATCAAGATAAACAATACGATCAAGGAAAATAATGGTGCAAAAGAAACCTCCCATATCCAAATATCTTCCTTAAAACAAATATTTCTCCCATTACCCACATTGAAGTGAACAAAGGAGCTAAACCAAGCCAAACCATGAGAAATTAATTTCCAAAGGAGCATTAGTTGAGGCAGAAGACATGACTAAATACAAAAGTGTAGAAAATTTAATGTATAAAGAGAAATAGAGAATTGTATTATTGATTGATATATTTTGTTATGTTTACATTGATTCATATATATAGAAGAGAAGAAGGTAGTAGGTGAAGGGGAGTAGGTGAAGTGTAGTAGGTGAGGAGTAGGTGAGGAGTAGGTGGTGGTAGGTGATGGTAAATTGGTGGTAGGTGATGATAAATTTTAACAGCCCCCCGCAAACTCAAGGAGGATAGAAACTAACCAACTTGAGTTTGGAGAGAGTAACAAAACAAGAAAATACATAAAAATAAAAGAGGATAGGAGACACTGTATGGTCGTGTCAGACCATTGGTGAAGACACTGGATGGTGGTGTCATAACGTTGTAGAGGACACTGTATAGGGGTGTCATAACGGTGTAGAGGACACTGGATGGCGGTGTCAGACCGATGTAGAAGACAGTTTATGGGGTCATGTCGGACCGTTGTAGAAAAACAGTTTATGGGGTCATGTCGGACCGTTGTAGAAAAACAGTTTATGGGGTCATGTCGGACCGTTGTAGAAAAACAGTTTATGGGGTCATGTCGGACCGTTGTAGAAAAACAGTTTATGGGGTCATGTCGGACCGTTGTAGAAAAACAGTTTATGGGGTCATGTCGGACCGTTGTAGAAAAACAGTTTATGGGGTCATGTCGGACCGTTGTAGAAAAACAGTTTATGGGGTCATGTCGGACCGTTGTAGAAAAACAGTTTATGGGGTCATGTCGGACCGTTGTAGAAAAACAGTTTATGGGGTCATGTCGGACCGTTGTAGAAAAACAGTTTATGGGGTCATGTCGGACCGTTGTAGAAAAACAGTTTATGGGGTCAGGAAACCAAACCAGACTGAAACCTCTGAACTTGTCATTCTGAAACAATCTGTAAATACTCTGTATCCAACCCTTCTCGGAAACACTCAGCAACCCAAAAAACATGGCCTCTTCTTCCCGTTCAGCTACCCAGAACATGGTCTCATCTTCCCGTGGTCTGCTCACTCTCTTTCCCGACCTCAACGAGTCAACAGGAGAGATAACAGGTGCGGTGGCCCGTGAACCTCAACCAAACACCTCTGGTTTTGCTCCGTTGAACTTTCCGATGCGGTCGGTGGAGCAAAGAATGGCAGTGCAGTCTGATGTGGAGGCCAATCAGTATACATTGAAGTCATGTGTGGAAACCATGACTGCGGTTACAAATTTGTCGAACCGGCTGCAGAGTAGGACAAATGAGGTGCAGCAGTTAAACGCCCAACTGGCTCTGCTCCAACGCATGTATAAGGATGCGCGAGCAGAGATAAGTGTGCTAAAGGCGGAAAATAAGGAGCTGAAGCGGAAGGCCACCGTGATGTTCCGATTTGGAGGTCCGCCATATGTTGCAGTGGAGGAGTATGGGGGAGTGAACGTGCTCGGTGGCGTGGAAAACACGGAGGCAACAACGGCAAGGGCCACCCAGGACGGAGGCAAGAAGAAAAGACCGGCTGCAGAGTAGAGAAGAAAAATTCCACTGTGGGGGTGGTTGTTTTGTTTTTGTTGTGTTTTTTTTTTTTTTTTTTTTTTTTTTTTTTTTTTTTTTTTTTTTTTTGTGGAAAATGGTGATCGGGGTGAGTCCCGACATGAATAAAAGGTTTTGTGTGTATGTTTTTATTTATTTATTTATTTATTTATTTTTTTATGTTTGGTATATTATTTTTTATTTTTTATTTTTGTTTTTTTTTTTGAGTTGTGTGTGGAGTGTGTGCCCATGTGCATAGGTCTGTCGAGAGGGACATACATAGAATTATAAAATAAGACACTAATAATACTACAAACATGATTATAGAAGATTTCTATCAGTTTCTCTATAAAATCATGCCAATGTCCAAATATTATCGCTTCTTTAAATTTAGCATTCCTTGAGCTTCTTATACTCTGCATCAAATTTATCTTCTTCTTTCCCTCTTTTATTTTTTGCACTTTCAACAGCCCAAAAACACTGTTCACAGCTATTGTTCACAGCCCCTAAACAGTGCCAAAATCCCATCTTTTCATGCTTAAACTCTTACCCACTTTCAGCCATAAAATCGAATTAAAATTAGCCCCAAAAGCCTGCCCTAATCGTCCTACATCATTTAGTTTCCAAGCAAGGTCAATTTTGAGTTGCCTTGTTTGTGAGGTACTGAGCCTTTTAGCCATGTCAGTGTGTGTCCTTTTGTCTTGAGCTTTGCTGTATATTTCTTTCTTTTGTTAAATAAGCTCTTACGTACCCAAAAAAATATAGATTATTATCTATAAACATTTATTCAGCTCTTATCCTTCTGAAGATCACAACATATTTCTTTTGTATTCTTATTCTACTGTGAGATGAAAGACAGCACTCCTTGAAAAAATAGTGTCATTTTGGTTGTCTGAATGCGACTTTGTCATTTGCTCATGTGTTGACCTTTCTCTTTGAACAATTTCAGGAAATTAATGGGGACAATTTTCCTCAAGATGCTCCAATTTCCAGGAGTAATGCAAGCCATGAAGAAAGACAAAAGATTGTGAATCTGGCCAAAAATGGGGTTAGAAAGCGTCGTTGTCACCGTATGCAGGTAAGCAGTTACTAATATTTATTAACCTGGGTTGGGGATTTAATGATTTTAAGTTTTCTGTTTGCTTTTTATCAGGTCATAGTTTTTAAGTTGAATAGCTTGATTGTGTCTGAGGCCCATTGTTTCTTTTGATCAGCCCTACCTACCATGATGGTGACTCACAATAGTCTTCTATGATGAAATATTAAAATTTAACCATTCAAATTAGTTATAATTGTACGTTAAACTCTTGTAGACTTCAGGAATTACTGAATGAACTATGAAGTATATGGTTGAACTCCTCTTAAGAAGAGAATTGCCGCACCTGCACAAGGGCTATGCATGCTATGATTGGTTGTTCTTGGCTCACAGGCACGGGAGGCAGTTCGTACAAATTGGCCATTTCTAAGGCATGTTTAACTTAATCAGATGACCTTTGCTGTCTAGTACACTGCCTTTTGACGGTTAAAAAGGAATAGCAGGGCGGTTCCCTGCTGCCTGCCTGCCATGTGTATAGCTAAAATTGTGGGAGACTATAATTATGTGTGTTGCAATGTTAAATTATTGTGTTCTTGCTTACTATCAAGGATGGATTGAATATTAGTTTTGATGTGAACTTGGCTTTTGTTTGCCCTTGATGTAATTACAGACATGTCAAACCTCAATACGGCCAATAACCCCAAGCAGCCTTCTGGATTCAATCTGCTGGTCAATATCTGAGCCAACTTCAACTGCTTCTATGTACACGGATTCATTCAGTGTCGAGGATGCCAGCGAACACCACATATCTGTATATTTTGATGCAAAAGGGGATGGAAAAGAATCAGAATCTTCATTTGTAAACTTCTCTCGACCACTTACTGAAAGGTTGTTGAACTCTCTCCATTTTAGTTCAGATTTTCTTCTTCTTTGTGGTAGACATGGAATGCTGGATGCATACCCTCTGTTCCATGTGTTCCTTTTTAACATATACTATTCAACTTGCTGTTGTAACTTCTCTACTGCATTAAATCATAGAAAAGTCCAACTGTAGTGTAGGAATTATGTTCCGAAAACCCCCTTCTCTTGTAAAGTTTGGATATTGCTATTTCATCTAGTACATGTATAGAATTTTGAATCGCCTATGCACTTTTTTGCTTGTTCTCTAATTGCTTTGCTTTGTAAATTTGGGTTTTGTTTGCAGCGAGAAAACCGAGTTGATATTCAAGAACCACTTTCTTACCATACTGTTTCCAGTTGACCGGTTTGCTGAGATGGGCCCTTGTTCAAGGACTTTTTTCAGTAATACAGGCTTTACATGTCTGCAAGTGTTGGATCATGTCTATGCATTTTATCAGGTATGTGGAGTTGTTTCCTCCCCAGACTCTATTCATTAATTTGGACTTGTAATTGAGGGGTTATGATCCATGTTCTTTTTCTTTTTCATTTCCTTTACTTAAAAAGGGAAGTGATGTTTACTTGTTTATCAGGAAATGGGGTATCTGATGTCATTTTCTTGATCATGAGTGGTGTGTCGGTTGGTCCATTGATTATCTTTGTTGTTAATAGTGCTTGTTAATTGTAGCAACTCTTTCCACTTGTAACATTTGATATTGATAAAATGCATTGATAGTTAATTTAAGATTATGGTATAATTGAATTTTGAAATGTATTAACTGTCAATGCTTCTCGAGTGTTTTGTTGCTTTAAAATGCCATTGCTCATAATTAATTAATTTATTTATTTATTTTGGCGAGTCACTGAGGTAGTTACTATTGTAAATTTGTAATATTGACAATGGTATGGTAATGGCTGCTGTTGGAATTACGTTTCCTACTTTCAAGAATAAATTTTGTAAAACCAAGTGTAGTTGTGTTCCTTTGGAGCAATATTATGTAACTTGTAATTATAGCTTATTTCCAGCATTATAAAAAGTGCATTGGTTTGAGAAGGTGATTAGAGATGCAAGCCTTGCATAGTTCCATCTATTGTTCTTACCCCTTTTTTTTTTTTTTTGGAACTAATCTATTGTTCTTACCTGAGTCATTTTTATCTTTATGCTCTTTTTGTAGGAGAACATGTCAGCTTATGAAATAGAGGTGGCAATTCACACTGACTCAAGACATGCTGATCGGCTCCGATCAGTGTACTCTAGCAAAGAAACTGCAGAGCGAGGATATGTGGCATTCAAGCACATTGATTTCTTAGGGAGTCGTAAAAGCTTTGAAATGTTGAAGCGTGTTAATGGGGATAACAATAGTAATGTCTATGAGTTGTTGATTAGAGCATGAGAGATTATCTTACTCCTGTTCGATCGATGCCTTGTTGGTCCTGATGAGAATTGGTGGCGACCTATAAGACAGACAGACATCAAGCAATTGGATGACACTCCCTGCCTGAACTTTGCTAGTCGTGTTGGACCTTCACTCAAAGCTTTACATGCGTTATTACAATTTAAGAAAATTGCAAATTGTCTCCTCATGAACGTTACAAGTCCCCTTTCTTCATACTTCATCACATCTGCATCCACATCTTGGCGTTCCCAGACACTGAACAAATGCAAAACCTTGTGAGATTTTATTATTGTTCATAATCTTTGACAAATGGTCATAAACTTAGGATATCACCCTTGTCTATCAGATGGTTCTACCATTTCTTTTGGCTCTGGTTCTGATCGAATGTGATCTAAACCTTATTTGATGTGATCTACACTCTGGACGGTTTGACAATTAAGCACATTTGGTAATGCATACACATCTAATTTGAAACTTAAAACAAAAAATTAGCTTTTAATGTTAAAACTTGGTGAGGCTTGACTTATTGAATGCTTATTGAAAATGTATCTCATTGTTTTGCTGCCACATGCACAGGTTTATAATGTAAACCTGCCAATTAAAAACGTACAACATACCAAACATTTGATAGTTAAGATCTCTCTGAGTCACATACCAAATGAACTTCTCCATGAACCGATAACAGAGGTTAAACAGGAAATTCATTTGCAAAGCTAATATACTTGTAAGGTTAAAAAAGACCATAAGTTCTCCAAAAAAAAAGACCGTAAAAACATTGTAGTAGGAAGAGCTTGTAGAGGTAGGACATGGTGTCTGTCTATTAAAAGATAGCATAATATAATATGCATATCAGGCCTGAATCAGCTATTTGTGTTTTTTTTTCCCTTCATTTTTCCAGTGTCACTGGTTGCATCATATCTAAGAAGACTTGGTTTAAACTGACACCAACAATCAACGATCGGCCCAGATACTACCAAGTGGAGTGGACACTACTATTATTATTACAGTTTAAATATTAAGGGAGGGTCCTCCTGCTGCATCTCTCAATCATTTAGGATCCTGCTCCTGCAACTACAAATCTTAATGGCAATTTCAAATATCATCAGAGCCCTTCATGGAGACTGTAAATGCATGAGAAATTGAACTATCATGTAAATCAAATCTAACAGTTACAACTGAAATTTAAAAGAAATTGAAAAAAAAAAAAAAAAAAAAGAATAAAGATACAAAGTTACAAAAGAGTGCCCACAGACCGGCCGATGGAGATCCCCAATTGCTCCCAAATGTAATTCCACTACCGACTGATTAAACCTTAATGACACATTTCTGACTTTCTTTTTTCCCTTCAGAAATTGTCTTTTCTTTTTTCCTTTTTTCCTTTTTTCCTCTTGCAGAACCGGACTACTCCCCATATACAAGATACAAGATACAAGAATGTTTGATAACTGATTTCTTGGGTTATGGCTGCTGTGTGTCAAAAACGTCCTCCTAAACGTCCCTGACTCTCAATATATCATAACCTGAAGCAGCCCTGGCTGTAGTTCAGAGTAGTCAAGGCCCTCCTGCTCAAGCAGATAGCGCTGGATGGCAACTGGAAGTCTCGCAGGAGTGCGAGAACCCCTAGTGTGGTGGCCTGTTCCGACACATATATAAACCTGCAGCCTCTGCTCCGCTGTCCTAGCTGTGCTCCTCAACTGTGACAGCTCACGCTTAAGGACATGAATGGCTTCACTCACATGCAGTCCATGCAAGTCTATTATCCTCTCCTGTCCCCTCCCATTACCCTGCATCTCAGGACTAACCGGATTCCTGCCAACCAATAAAAAAACACCCAAAATAAACTTGAAACTTTCTTAGACAAATTAAAAAAATGGTCTTAAATCATAGTACTCCCAGCATCACTTAGTTTTGCATGGGTACAGATCCTCTCCATTTAATGAATGAAATCAATGGGTGCAAAAGCTCTACATCAACCACTTTTATTGTAAGGTGGTGTGGTGGTAGCTGATATAATGGCAGCATCGGTGGTTGATGTAGCATGGTGAGCTGTGGCGGCGTGTCAGGAAGTGATGAGTGTTAGTCTCCAACACAGACATGCCACCTTACCTTTTGAGAAGTATTTGTGCGTCCATAACAGGTTGTTTCATTAAATACACAAGCGTGCCTCTTTTAGACATGGATAGAGTTCTTTAAAATGTTAGCATGACCCAATTGACCTATGATTGCAAAAGTTCGATGAAAAGCATACATGTCAACAGACAACTTACTTTCCCTTTTTATTTATTTTTGTAAAAGACAATTTCAAGGTAAGGTGTAGATTAGAATTAATAGGCCCACTTCAAATCCTATTCCAAGACAGACAAATGCTCTCAGAGCAGGCATGGACAACAAACCTCTGACGATAAATAGATTCTTGAGCTTTTCCATGAGCTGCCTTCATGCGCATGTTGTGTAGCTGCCCTTTCACACTCAGTTCCTTTGCTAAAGCCTTGTTACCAATTAGATAAGCCTGCCGTGCCTGTTTTTATTATACAAAAAGAAGGGGTTAAAGAAAACATGCGGTAGAACTAGAAACTAAAAGCAGTTTTACTGGGGAAAAAATATTACATGACCGATCAAAATTGAAGTCTGCACTATAGTCGAAAATATTTACAGCTCAATGGCTGGTAAATAGGGTGCTAGCAATGGATCTTGGAATGTTCAACAACAGTTCATTTTTCAAATTGACCATCTTGTTATTGTTGGAATGTGTCTCACATTGCCTAGAGTTACCCCATTTGTGCTAGATATAAGGCTCTAATTTCCCTCTTCTTGATATCTGAGTTTTAAGAAGTGTGGGCAGGAAACTAGAGCCTTACAACAAGCACAGATGGGGCAACTCCAGGCAATGTGGGGCACATTCCAACACACCCTCCTGGACCACAACATACAACAACCAGATAAACGGCACACCAATCACAGACCCAACCAAGCTCTGATACCAAGTTCAATTTTGTAACAAGGCAATAAGGTTGAATATGGAAAAATAATAGAGACAGAAAAAAGAAAACAAAGAATATAAGTTTAACGTGGCTCAACCAATAGACCTACATCAATACACACAAAGCCCTATGGGCTACATCTTTCATTCACTCAACTTAATACTCTTGTTTACATGATACACCATATATATAGAGTGGGAGACATAATCAAATCTCTTCAATTAAGGAATTGAAATAATTCAAAGATACAAAAAATCATAAGCACAAATATGGGATCTCCATTTATTATGACATCTTCCATATCTTCTGATATTTTTGACAATATAATTTTGTCTCCAACACTCCCCCTCAAGTTGGAACATGGAACGGTTTAAGTGAAGTGTCCCAACTTGAACTCAAAAATATGATGATCATCACAAACAATTACAATTAAGTTGTTGAAAATCAGCAACAATTGTAGTAACTCCAATAACAATTTCAGAGAACATAGGTAAGGAATCAACATCTTGCAACAGATAAATGTTCATAGAATCAGTCATGATAGCAGAAAGAGAAACCAACTGAGAGAGAGGCCGCAACAAGGCCGAAAAAACAGCGTATTACAATGAATGCTACCAAACAAATCAGTGGCCCAAAACAAAAAAGAACCAAATATGTGCTTACCACATTAACACAAAGACCTTTAAAGGATAAAGTAGCAGCCAGAAAACTCTGTGTATCACAGAATAATGCTACCAACACACTGGCAACCCCGAAACAAATAAAAAACTACAAAGTTTGCTTACCACATCAGCAAATCAATGATCAACACAAGGAAAAGGGAAAATCACCTTGATAACAAAAAATATGGAGTGAGAAATAACTCTAGAGAGAAACATGCCTAGGGTTTGGTAGGCTCTAACACCAAGTTGAATTTTGTAACAAGGCAATAAGGTTGAATATAGAGAAATAATAGAGACGGAAAAGAGAAAAGAAAGAACAAAGATTTAATGTTGTTTAACTAATATTGGCCTACATCCACACACACACACAAAGTCTTGTGGGCTACATCTTTCATTCACTCAACTTAATACTCTTGTTTACATGATACGCCATTATATAGGCCTTCATATCTTCATATCTTCTGATACAATCAAATCAAATCAAATCCCTTCATATCTTCTGATATCTTTGACAATATAATTTTGTCTCCAACAGTTATCAGTCAGTCCAACAGATAACAATCCTATGGATGTCATAGGATTCATATTAACTTGTTATCAGCCTAACAGCTTAGTGACTTTAGACCTATTCGTTTAGTTACATCCTTGTACAAGATTTTGGGAAGGTGCTATCAAAAAGACTAAGGCCTATCTTGGGAGAAACTATATCTATGGTACAAGGGTGTGTTTATGAAGGGTTGGTAGGTTTTAGTTGTTCTTTTGGTGGCGAATGAATTAATGGAAAAATATAGAGTGTTGAACAAAGAAGGTCTCATTTTCAAAAGTGGATTTTGAGAAAGTATATGAACATGTTGATTGTCAGTTTTGAATTTGTAATGCAAAGAAAGGGATTTGGAGATAGATGGATCCCAATGTGTTTTCTTTTTTTTTTTGTATTAGTGAACCCAAGGTGCTTGTCGATTTGTAATATCTCTGTCATTGTTAACATAAACGTAGGGAATACCTTTAGGGCATCTGAAGAACTTAGACAAGGTGACCTATTATCTCCTTCTCTCTTTATCTTGGTGGCAGGTGTATTGGTGAAGTTGATTGATAAGGCTCAGGAGACTGAATTAGTTGATGGGTTTGTTATCAAATGGGATAAGATTTGTGTCTCACTTATAGCATGCGGATGATATTATCTTTTTTTCTTCTGGGAAGGAAAGTAAGACAGTTAATCTATTATCAATGTTGAGGATTTTTTAACTTGTCTTTGAATTTAAAGTTAATTTGAACAGAAGTAGCATAGTGGGCATTAACTTGAAGCAAAGTGTAGCGTACGACAGGCATTTTAGGATGCCCTATCGAGAGTTTTCCTTTCAAGTATTTGGATCTTCCATTGGGAGCTAATCCTAGAGTTGTCTCTTATTGTGCTCCAGTATCAGAAAACGTTAAGAGGGGTGGAAGAAAGCATTGTTATCCAAAGGGATAAATATACTTTAGTGCTGTCTATGTTGAACAGTATTCCCATTAACTATTTGTCTTTGTTTAAGATTCCAATTGTGATTGTGAATAATATTGAAAAAATGATGAAGGATTTTCTTCGTGAAGGTCGGGACAAGAGCAAGAAGGATCGCTTAGTGAATGGGGAGGTAATTTCTCTCTCTAACAAGAAATGATTGTGGCTAGGAAAATTGCTCTCCTTGAAAAATGGTTCTAGAGATACCGCTTTGACTGATTCATTATAGCATTCCATTAATAAAAAAGTAAGTACGAGATGCAAGTTAATGATAGGGATACTCTTGTGGTTAGTAAGGGTAATTGTCGATCTCCATGAAAATCTCTCATATTCTTCCGCTTTTGTCTAGATTCCTTTCTTTAAAAGTGGGTAATGGAGAAAATGTCTACCTTTCGTTGACCCAAAAAAAAAAGGAGAAAATGTCCTTTTTTGGTAGGATGTTTCCTTGGGTGGGAAGGATGGCACAAAGGGAATAAAGATCATTTAGTGAATTGGGACGTAGTTTCTCTCTCCAAGGAGAAATGAAGTTTAGCCAATGGCAACATTGTGGCTAGGAAAATTGCCCCATCTTGGAAGGTGGTTATGGAGATTCCCCATTGAGTGAGTCATCATGGCATTCGATTACAAAAAATAAGTACAAGATGCAAGTTATTAACATAAACACTCCTATGGTTAGCAGGGGTAATTATCAATTTCCATGTAAATCTATCTCTCATATTCTTCAGCTTTTGTCTAAAATTTATTTATTTATTATTTGATTGGCACTAGGGTGTCTAGATCAAAACCTGACTAATCCCCAAGGGTGCACAGGCCCTCGGCAAGGAGATTTTCGCAAATGCACGATGGTTAATTCAAGAGTTTTTCCCCAGTCAAATGCCCCAAGAAATTGTTAGCACTTAAGAAGTTTCGATCCCTGAACCCTAGAGGGAGCACACCCCAAAGACCTTGCCACCAGGCAAACCCCATAGGGTTTGCTTTTGTCTAAATTTCGGTCTTTGAAAGTAGCTAATGAGGGAAATGTCCATTTTTGGAAGAATGTTTGGATGGGTGATTCTTCTTTTGATGTGTCATTACCACATTTATATCAAGTAGCTTGCTATCATAATGCTTCCATTTCTACTTTAGCTTGTTCTAGTTTGACATTGTTTTCATGAAATCTCAATTTTATTAGAAATTTTAATGATCAGGAAACTCTTGAGTTGGCATCTTTGCTGTCATTGCTAGATTGCTTTTCATTGTCTCCAAATGTGTTGACTAAGCGGGTTTGGCTCATTCACTTTTCTGGTGTCTTTTCATGCAAGTCCTTCGATAAAATCATCGATAAGCCCAACGTTCCTTCTTTTTCCCTTTTGGAAAGCATCAATACCTCTTAAAGTGAAGATATTTATGTGATCTTTGGCTCATGGAAGAATCATGACTAATGATAACTTTCAAAAGAGGAGGCCTAATCGCTATCTTTGTCCTCAATGGTGCATCACGTGTAAAAGGAGTGAGGAATCTTTGGATCACTTATTCTTGCACTGTCATGAGGCATTGGATTTTTGGCATCGACTCTTTTGTTTGGTTGATACCCTTTAGGTGGTACCAAGCACGTGTGCATATGATTTTAATTAATTTTTGTAGCTTCAGAGGTAAAAAGAAAGCAAAAGTGCTATAATATTGTGTTGAACTCTGGATTTTTTTAGGTATTTGGTCGGAAAGGAATGCAATGATCTTTGAGAAAAGGAAAGTAAAAGTGCTATGACATGAAGTCATTGTTTTGGAATCTTAGTGTGTTACTTGGAATCGTTTTGGGCTTCTATTTCGCCTGCATTTAAAGGTATCCGTTCTTTTTGATCTCCAAAGATTGGGGAGCTATTTGTGATATATAAGTCCTCTATATTTGAAGAGGACTCCTTCAAAACACACACACCCCGCCCCCCCTCCCCCCCAAAATAAATAAATAAATAAAGAACCCTTCAAGCAACAAAATCCCTTGAAGACTTCCCCTCAAAAATAAAGAACCCTCCAAGCAACGAAATCCCTTAACGACTTTCCCTCAAACTATAACATGAAAACTTCATGTGACTGCATTTCCCCTTTAGAAAACGCGGCAAAGTTGTTAAACCCCCTTTACATTATCAAGGAAATAGTTTGCTTAGATTTCTCATAACAATCCAAGAAAATGAGAAATACATCAAAACCAGAAGCATTCACATTTTCAACTACACAAGCACAAATCGGTAACTTCTGTTTGGGAACTGATAATTCCAACCCTCAATCTAATAAACAAGCAATGCTATCCAATATCCGTAATCATTTTCTTCTCAAATAGTGGAAAAAAAAATTGGAGTTGCTACAACCAAAAGAACAAAGCTCATCCCCAATGATAACAACAGCCGGCATGGCCAATACAACATACAAATTTAATTATAGTTGAGACGTCCATGTAATGTGATGTTGCGTGTAAATCAAATGTGGACCAATGAAGTACAGAAGACGTATCATTATTCTAAAATCTACAGAAGCATAGTTCAAGAAAAAAATCTCAACTAAACTGAAGTGATGCCATGGACTGATTAGAGGTCATTGTGCCTGTCACTGCTAATGATATACTGCATGTGTGGTGTTGTTTTGCCGGTGAGGGGTGGTGAATCTCAACTCCCAAAACTGATTACATTGATCAATCCAGGTTTTGTAGGACATACCTGTTCAAAGTACGCATTACGTAAGCGTGCATGGTCACGAGCTTCCTCCCGCATTTCAGAGTACATATTTGCTGTCATCTCAACAATGTTAAAAGTATATATACATGCAGAAGAATTTTTCCCACAATCAAAGTTTTATAAAGCGAGTAAATTTGTTGACACAGAAGTATTACCCACTGCTTCTCCAGTTTCTAGCCAAACAGGAGCTGTCCGGGATGAACTCCGACTTTGTAATCTATCACCATAGATGCTCCTCCCCTGCCCGCTGCTGTAAGAGCTAGCCAAAAGATGTGCACTTCTACTTGAGCCAACACTAGCATCAGCAGAACCATTTCGTTCATACTTCCATATACCAGAATCCTGAGATGACATTTTCCTGACAGCTGAAGCAAAATCAGTAGCACCTCTCGTAGGGATTGAAGAGCTAGATTTGAATAAAAGCATACTGTCCTTGCTGGAAGACCGGTAAGGACTACCACTTTGTTGGATATCATCTCCAGCATATTTTGGCAAACCATTTTGACCATCATGCACAGAAAGTGCAGGAAAATCCAGTGCACTGAGATTTGGTGCTGACAAGGCCTTTGAGTTGAGATTCTGATTCAAACCACCATCAACTTGCAGCTACAGTCCAAACAAAATCAACCGTAAAAGACCTTAGGGAAGATACAAGTATCTCATGTACTTCTAGGCTTAGACTTAATAAGATTTGAGAATCACTCAAGGAATCTAAATAGTACACAAATATGAAAAACATCTTGGCCTTGTTTGGTTTGTATCTAAAGATACAATTTTTGAAAAAAAATCTCAAAAGAAAATTGTTTGGTTAAAAATTTTTGAAAAAAAATTTCAAAATTACTTCTCTCTACTACACATCAACCAGTCATTTTTTCTCTCTCCCCTCTCTTTCTCTCACATCGTACACATCAATTAATTACTTTTTCTCTCACACCCATCTATCAACAACAAAAAAAAAATTAAATCATCCAAAACTCCAAATCTATTCTCAAAACATACAACACCAAACAAATTTTTAAATTTTGTAAACTCTTTTTAGAAAATTATTTTTCAAAATTGTTTCACAAATACAAACCAAACATGGCCCTTAAGTTTCAAAATCCAACAATCAAGTGACTGATTACTGATACAGCATAACTCGCAAATTATGAAAACATATTAATAATTCCAAGCTTAATATATGAATGTAGACACCCATTTTGACCAACTACAATACTTAAGCCTGTTGCCAAATCACTACCCGATGAGGAGAATGCAGAAATAAAATTATGAAGATTCCATCAATAACATAATGATGTGGAACTACCCTCACCCTGTCAGCCATACTTCCTCCCAAAACCGGACAGTTGCTAACTTGACATGTCGAGCCAATCCTTTAAATTTTAACACCTTTCAATCATTGTTAGATCTTTATTTATCAAAAAAAAAAAAACATTGTCAAATCTTTAATTTTGTTCATACATACTTTAGAATCACTTTTTTTGCCCCAAAAACCTATGAAGCGCGGACACGGACACGGACACGGGACACGGCAATTTTTAAAAAATGGGGACACGGACACAGCAAGGGACACGGTAGATTTTTAAATTTTTTTATAAATATTTTTATTTTAATACACATTAATTATTTTATTTGTTTATTATATTTTTTAAATAATGTGTTCCAATTAATTTTTTTTTTTTATTTTACATACATGTGTCTATTTTTTTTTTATTAATATGTATAAGTATATATTATCTTATAATATGTATTATTTATTATCTTATAAATATATTATATGTATAATAACTGTTATATAATATAATAGTTATATAACAATAATATAATAGTTATATAATAATAACTAAGTTGATGTCATCCTTATAACTGTTATATATATATGAATCAAGAAGATGAAAGAAGATAAAGACGCGATAGAGAGAGAGAGGAAGCAGCGATCGATAGCGATTGCGATCGCGATCGCGAAGGAGAGAGAGAAGGTGAGAGAGAGATCTCGTCGAAGTCGAAGGGGATGGAGGTCAAGGTCGATGGCTTCCGGTGGTCGAAGTCACGGAGATCGACAGGCGAGTCGATTGGATCGAAAGCCAGGTTCGTTTCAAGACCTTTACTCTTCTTTTTTGCTCTGTGTCCAGATTTGGACACGCGTGTCCAGATTTGGTGGACACACGTCTCCGCCGTGTCCCCTGCAAAAAAATAATTAAATTAAAAGGACACGCCACCCGACGTGTCCCGTACGTGTCCTCGGCGTGTCCCCAGCATGTCCCCGTGTCAGACATTGTCACGGCATGAAATCTGCCGTGTCCATGCTTCATAGCCAAAAACTCTGAAACAGACCCAAAATGAGACCCAGACAAAGCCAGCCGAGTAAGGGCGGCTGACCCTATGCTTGGGCTGGGCCGACCATGTGCCCTGGCCAGCTAATTTGATCCTCAGATTGGTTTCGCACAATTTGTTCGGAATTAGTCTGATTTTCTCTGCATCCCATATTGGAAAATGAACCCTAAAACTCCTCCGACACCTCCTACATATACCCCAAGCCTCTTCACCAAAAATAACACCGAAAATCTCTAAGAAACGTTGCGAGCATGGGTGAAAAACCGCAACTCCACTTTGTGTTTCTTTAGTTCATCTTTTTAATCAAAACTTTGAGTTTACTTCCCAAACTTTGGTGGGTCCTACATCAAGTCGAGCTCGAAGGAAATTCAAGAAGGTTAAGAGTTCGAGAATCCAAGGGCCACCCAAATAAATTGGTGGTGCCTTCTGTTTCAAGGTTAGTCTTTCTTTTTGTTTACTTAGTGTAGTATGTGTGTTTTTTTTTTTTTTATGATTGATCTTTTTGTGTTTAAAATTATTTTCCTCCGTACATTCACTGGAGTAGGTTTTTATTTGCATCCTTGTTTGGCTTTCATTAAGCTTGTGTTGTGGCCACTTCATTCTAGATTGGGTCATAATACGATTTTTTTATCATTCAGTTTTCTGTGAAGTAATATCATGATCTTATCACATCTTTGACATAGCCTTGATATTAGCTTCATCTTCATCATGGATGACAAGATGATCATATCACATGCTTGATATGGTCATTTTGTGGGAATTATTATCTAAAATTGAATACATTCAATGTTTGTTTTATATTCACAGTTCATCTTTTTCTGTGCCTATGACAGATCCATGTTTTGCATGATTAGGGCTTCTATATGTTTTCCATTTAGCTAGTTTCTTCCTATATTGCTTTCATGGTAGATTAGGATTTTCCAGCACAGCTTTTTCTTTAGCATGTTCATACTTATCATCATTAGTTAGCATGATGTGAGCATGTCATTTACTGTGTTATAATGAGCATGGTACAACCAAATGAACCAGATAGTTGAACAGTGATCCCTCTTAGGTCATGTGGACAACCACTCAATCACTTCATATGGTTGTACTCTCCTCCCCGAATCTATGTACGATTTTAAATATTTGGTTTTTGTGAGTGGGGTGGTTGGTTGTGTATTCCTTGATCTATCAAAGGGGACGCACATGGTGAAAAGCCCTTTTGCTAGCTTAATTACTTTTTTTTCTCTCTTTATTATTTCTTTCATATATGGATGATTATTTGCTTCCTTAATTTTTTATTATTATATATGCACATGGTAGTTTCCTTTCTAAAATAGATAGGATTTGAGGAATACCCAAAAACCTCATATTTTAATTGAAGTGGGGCCTTTTTCAAATGATGGTATGTCCCACCTTGGATAAGCTTTGTATCCTCATCTCAATTACCTACTTTATTTCATCTTTGTTTTATAACTGCCTTTCATGTATTGAGGAACCAACAATGTCGAGTAGGAACCAATCTTATGGTTGAGTGAGATGGGTGCCTTAACACCTTCTCATCTTGTACCTTAGCCCCTAACTTGGCTCTTTGGTGACATTAAGCAGTGCCTTCCTTTTGGAGTCATTTTGAGTATGGATACCCTAAACAAAAAACCAAGTGGCAACTCTGTCGATTGGATCTCCAATTCAATAGTTAGTGCCTCATGGAAAATCGAATTTGTGAGTTTCGAAGTAAAAAGGATATTTACCTATGAGCCGTTGATATTATATGCCTAAGAAACTAGATGCTAAAATAAGAACCACAGTTGCACTGAGTCACGTCAGTCATTCATGGGTTCATTGCCTACCAAAGGAAAGTATGTGAGGGATTGCTCTCCACAGTTAGCATTAACCCTACCATCCAACCCTACAAAAAATTTCAGCACATGTGTGAAGAATCTTTTTAGAAAGAAGAAGAACTCTTATGATTCAGACCAACTTACTAGTCTTTTCCTTGGTCAATAATCATAAAAACAATGAACTTTCTAGTCATTCATATGACAAACAAATATCTTATCCGAAGCATTCTAAGCCACTATGACCGTTTATATATTTTCCTCCAATTTTTGACATGCCAAAAAACATTTCATCCTAAAAATAATAATCTTGCTACAAGAATGATAATCTTTTAATTAAATTCGGGGAAACTAAGGTTCAACTTCAAATACCAGTTGTATGAAGAAAAAAAAGGGGGAGAGGGGGATGCAAAAAAAAAAAATCAATTTTAGACAGAATATGCAGCTGACAGTAGCTCCCCAAACTTCATATAACCTGAAGTTTTGTACTATTTACATAGAAAGGCTATGTTTTTTCCACATGCTGCCAAACTAAATCTAGACCCTCTAAGAAATATACAAAATCCACTCCACTTGGCTAAAGTTAAAGAGTTGATCATACCTCAAGCTGAGTAAGCATTTCAATTGTCAGGTTCAAGTCACCTCCATTTGCAAAGTACACCTCTGCAAGGCTCTCAGCAGCAAAACCAGGAAATTGTGAGGCCAAAAACTCAAGAGGATTGATCTCCATATGCTCTGCCATCTCTTGCTCATTTAGCATACCCTGTCTAGAATTATCATTATAAAGAGGCCCCTCTCTAACATTGGAAATAAGCTGATCATTGCTCACAATTGGCTTGTCCCAGGGTTTATTTGGGAAATGAAGGAAGTTTGCTGATGATGCATCTTCACTGTAGGATGGAACAGAATATCTCATATTCTCAAAGTTGTTCCCATTGATTCCATGAGAAGACAATTCATGCTGTTCTTTCAACATAAAACCACTACTCATAGAAGTAGAGAACCTCAAGGTTTCATTGCCATCTTGTAAGGATAGGGTCGAAAAAGGAATGTTGTTGATTCCCTGAGATTCATATTCCCCCATAACCTTAAAATCAGGAGTGATATCATCAGGGAGCTGGTGGCGCCAGTACTGGTGAGCCTCTTCATCAGAATTATTTGAAATTGATGACTCTGATCGATCTAGTACTGCTTTTCCTAATGTCCCAGACACAGAGACACCTAAGCCTGTAGACACATCTGCAGTACTAGTGCTTCCAGAGGATGATCTGAGAGCAAAGGGAACGAACTCTGCAGCATTTGGATTCAAACTGGTCACCTTACCTGGGGAACTTAGCTTTTTATCATTGGTAGGGGCCCCTTTATTGGACAAGCTCATTCTCTACTCTATTTTTTTTTTTTGGGGGGGGGGTTAAATGGGGAAAGAGCAAAAAGACTTTACATGCATAAGAAGACTTCTGACTAAGGGATTCACAAAGTTGCACTGAGCATTATCCAAATCCTGTAAAACATATTAAGACTACAAATTAGTCATCCTGGCAAAAACTGCCATTTGATGATGCATAATTCAGTCCCTGCCACAGCTGACTAACATCCATCATCTCAAACACAACTAATACCTGCAACTGTGCAGAAAAAGAAAAAAAAAAAAAGAGAGAGAGAGAGAGCTTTAGGGGGGGGGAATGGCGTGAATTACACTGACCTCCCTTGAGATTTGGAGAAAATACTGCAAGTCCCACAGTTTTGGTATAATTACACTGACCTCTCTTTTAGTAAGAATAAAGAGACCAAAACTAATGCAAATGGTACAAAGGCCCAAACGTCTATAATACATTTCAATGTAAATGAAATGACAATAATTTTTTTATAAAAAGGGGGGCCAAGTGCTAGATGAATTAAAACCTTAAGAGAACCCAATATAATTAAAATTGTGAGACTTACCGTATTTTTCCTAAATTTCAAGGTAGATCGGTGTAATTCTCCACTGATCTACCCTGAAAAAAGAAAGGGAAAAAAAAAAAAAAAAGCTTCAATATATGTGTTATATAGTGATTAAATGGTATTATTTACTAACTAGATTAAGTGTATTAAGATAAACTATAATCAAAGGGGCTGTATGTAAAGCATGTCATAATAAGTACCAACTGACTAATACAAGCCATTAACTACACAGAATATGCAGACCATTCCCAATAAATCATCTCACGTCACCACACAATTGAGAGTGAGGTTATAAGCTTTAAGCCTGAAACCTATAAAATGAGTTAAACAAAAATAAAAACAAGCCGTAATAAATACCCAATTATGCATTATTGTTATCTACAAATGATTTATAAAAAAAAAAAAATTGAAAAAGACGCAAAATCATAGGAATTCGTAACAAACTTAAGTCGACAGACAAAAAACAATTAGTTAAATTTCAACATGGAACCAAATAACACGTTCACCCAGAAATAGAAAAAGGAGCAAATCGAACAAAAACCCTAACCAGAAAATCCAAGATCGAAATTAACAGCAATAATCTGACGATCAGATATACAAAATAAACATATATAAGCATGAAGCATCAAGAGACAGAACAAGCAGGAAAGAAAAACACAAACTCGCATTTGAGAGATCTGAACAAATCTAAAGCAGATATAAAATTAGAACAAAAAACAGAGAGGATTAAATCAGAATAAAATAATCTGTATGGATACGATAAAAGAAGTAGAAGATCTGGCGGTAAAGGATGATGACGAAATGAAGATGCAGATGTTATGTATATACCTTTGCAAAGCTCTATGATTGAAGAAAGCAAATCGAATCGATCCATCGGCCAAGATAAGGATGAGAGGTACTGTACACACAGCTAGCGAGAGAGAGAGAGAGAGACAGAGACTATAAAGACACACAGAAAAAGATATTTAATTTTTTCTTCAGAGTTAATTGAGAAGTATTGGCCTGCTGTACCTATCTGAGCTTCAGGTTTTTCGTCCCTCCCTCCCCTCTCCGTCTCCCTGGTTTTGTTTTTCTTTTTTCCTTTTTTTTTTTTTTTCTTTCAAAACCCCTTCGCTTCACGACCACAAAATAAAAAGTAAGAAACCCAACCCTTCGCCACTCGATTTGACGACTCTCACTGTTTTGAACTAGGTAGCATGATTTGGGAAGTGGGTTTGAATAGGTTTGGAACTGCTTTAGTTAAAAAAATAAAATAAATTATTTTAGTTATAGTAAATAAAATATTATATTTAATTCATAATTAGTATTTTTTTTTATAAAAAAAGTTAAAAAATTAAAAAGTTAAAAAGTCATTCTCAAATTAAACTTTTTAATCCAGACTAAAATAATTATAAAAAAATTAAAAAATCATCTCACTACCCAAATGAAGTAGGTTTGGTATTTGAATTATAAAATTTACACAATTACATGGAATATAATGATAAAAAATTGTGACCAAAAAATTTATACAATTTTTTAAAAAATGGCTTACAACAACTCTAATATTATGATATATTTTACCTATTAAAGTAAATCTAAAATAAAATTTCAACTATATTTTGATCCTGTTTGGTGTAGCTGTTAGAACAGATTATAAATTATAGTTTAACAGATTATAGATTATGACTTTAATCAAAAGTTGTTAATCTGTTTGGTGTAACTATTGGATTATAGATTTAAGTTGTTGAGTAGTGTTTGGTAAATAAGCTGTGAAGTAACTTTTTCAATTAATTTTTATTTTTTATTATTCACTATTTGTCTACATGTCTCATAAAAAATAATAATAATATTCTATAGTCCATTGGGTCTTTTTCTATTTTTAAAAAAATAAAAAAAATTTAAGAGTATAGCCGTGAATTAACATGTCCACAGCAGAAGCTGACAATCAGAAGTAAAGGGTGAGCAACTTCTCAAAATCAGCTTTTTTGACTTAAAATAAGTTGTTAAAATCAAAAGTTGTTTGAAATAAATTTAACCAAACAGTCTAAAATAACTTTTTAAAAGTTAGAAGCCATAAGTTGGCTCAAAAAAATCTCACCAAACACCCCTTTTATGTGTCGCTTCTGAAAAATAGTTTTTATGGTAATACATTTTGTGTAGTTGTCAAAATAGAATATTAGTCATATTTCAATTTTTTTTTTTAACAAAAAACATATATTTTTTATATTTAATTGTGACCTTAAAATGTTGTGCTAGTGCTATTAAAATGTAGGGCTCCACTGGGACCCCAGTGGGGGTGACCCCCGGTGACCCCCAATGTCACATGGGGGGTTGCTATTGACTGAAAACTAAAAAAAAATAAAAAATAGGGTACGTTTGGTTTGTGTTTGAGAGATGTGTTTTAGAGATAAAAAGTATGAAAAGTTGTTTGGTTTGGTTTTTTTCAAAAGATGTTTTGAAAAATTATTTTGAGAGAGAGTTTTGAAAAAAGTGATTGATTTGATTGTGTGAGAGAGAGATTTGTTTGGAAAACTTGTTTGGTTTACAAGTTTTGAGAAATTTTTTTGAGAAAATTTGTTTGGTTTGATTTCTTTTAAAAACTTATTTGTAGAGAAAATTTCTCAAAATTTTTTCCGAAATACAAACCAAACGAACCCATAATAGTTTTTAGGCCAATGAGAAGAGACCCTCAGTACTCCTACTGGGGGTCTCATGCATTTTCCTAAAATGTGGGAATAATGGTGTTAATGTGGTTGGGATGGTAGTTCCATGGTGGCAACTATAATCATGGGCGGAGGCACGTACGGTTCAGAAGGTCACATGTCCTCTCAACTTCTAAAAAATTATGTTTTTGTTTATTGTAAAAAAAAAAAAAATTTGTTTCAATTTAAACCTTTTACATAATATTATAAAATTTTATATATCTATTTTTTATTTTTAAAATATATATATGTTTAATTTGTCACTTTAAATGTGTAATTATGTTAAAATTTTCTTATAAATTTTATATTAGAGAAATGTTATATATCACTGATTTTCTATCCCCTCTTGTATGAATACTCATAATTAGTTTATTTGTTTATAAATAATTATAACATAATTCATAACAACTAATGATATTTGTCATGTAATTCAGTGATTCAAAGCGATGAAAAAAATAAATAATATATAGCTGTCACGACCCAAACACGCCCCTATAGGTTTAGCATCATAACCGGCCAGTAATCTTGGAATTACCAAAGGCTTCTGAAACATATTAACAAAATTAAAGTGGTTGGTGGAAGCAGATATCAAAATACAATATCCATAGAGTTGTGTAGACGTATATGAGACAGAAAATTAAACTTGATTTACATATATATATAACGTGATATTTGCATCAGTCTTACGTCACCCATACACAGATAAGACAAAACGGAACTTCCCCTTATTTATAAAATATACAGGAACTTGCCCAACAAACAAAGAGAATAAAGTTAGCATTGATTTCACAAAACTTAAAGCACTTGGGAACCTCCTTGGAAGGCACAGTGGTTGACTTGACAAAACAAAACTCCATGCTAGCAACTTAGGCCTAGTCCCACACCTAATCACCTATTTACATAAATAACACAATGAACTGGAGCCTAGTTAATAACAACGGAATAAAGGTTTTATGAATGATGTCCAAATTAAATTCAGAAATCAGAGTTCATATCAGAAACAAATTCAGATTCACATACTTATACAGATTTCATAAATTGTAACACGAACTGTGATTAGCTACTAATCCATGGTTAAGAGTGTCTAATCAGTAATTAAGAAGAAATTATGAATTAATTGGTTGTGTATTGTATTATTTGAGTTTTATCTGTCTACTATAGGAATATTAGTCTATATTTCTGTTTCATTATGCGAATTGAAAGCCTTATTGGCATTTAATTACGAAATTGACTTGGGTTATGTGTTATTTGGAATTTTTAAAATTTTATGGTAAGTTTAATTGAAACTCGATTCGGAATCAAATAATTAGAATAAAAAGAATATAATTGTTTAATCTAAGCAAGGATTAATTAATTCCACTACTAACACCTATATAAGCCTAATGTGTCTCATACCACTACACGCATACACACTTCATCATCTTTTGACATCAAAATCGTGAGAAAGAGAGAGAAGAGGAAACAACTTGTATTCAAGCTTGGAATTGTAGAAAATTGGACTTCTATAGTATAACTGAACACTTAAGGTAAGAATTCAAGCCTTTAGCTTTGTAATTAAGACACTTAACACATGAGCACAAGAGAATCAAGTTGAATCATACAAGAATTGAGCTTAAGAGTGTAGAAAATAAGACAAATTATGCATGCATGCTCATTTCATTGTGTTTCGAAGATGTTTTCAAAGAATTTCCTATTGCATGTCCTCATTTTGGCTTTGTTTTGAGAATTCAACATGTTTGTACCAAACATCTCAATTGATCATGGTTTGGAAAGTTGAAGCTCAAATCATTACATGCATGTTATGTTTTAGAAGTTTCAAGTTGAATTTTGGACAATTGACTTACTTTTGGAACTTGATTTTGCAAAATGATCCTTAATTCTTGATGTTTTACAAGTTTAGCCATGTTTTCTCAAGTTTTTGGCCAAAACGATGTGTTTAAAAGCTTTGAAATTGATTTTTGCATCCTGAACATCAATCTGTAAATTCTAGAATTCTACATCATCGCTTGAGCAACAGAACCTGCACTCGAGCGACCATTCTTTGTTTTGCACTTTCGGTTGAGTGATTAAAAGTTGGCTTGAGCATAAAATCCATGCTCCCATTACTTTTGCAAACATGAGCCTCCGCTCGAGGGAGGGAACTTGCGCTCGAGCGATCGCGCCTATTTTTGAATCTAGGCTTGAACAACTAGAAGTTGTGTTCGAGCATAAAATGAGAGCTCCCAAAAGTTTTACAGAATTTTGCAGTCCGTTCGAGCCACCAAAGTTGCACTAGAGCGAAGACCCTGTTTTCATAAATTTGGCTAAGTGTTCCAAACCATATTTTAGTATCCTCATTGCATCCTAGGCTTTTTCTAAGCCCTAATTAAGACATAATAATGAGGACAAGACTTAAAACACACTAAGAACGAAACGTAATGAATTAAGTATTTTCTGAGCGTGTGTTTCAGTGTGTATCCGTTATCTGTTTGTGTAGGTCACGCATCGTAAGCTATTCGATCTGTCTACTTTTGGAGCTAACTGTGAGTAATAACTTAGTAAATCTATGTTCAACTTTATTTATTTTATGTATGATGAAATAAGATCTGTTTATGAAATGATATGTTTTGTACAATGAATGATTGTCCAATTTCTGACATGTATTCATGGCATCCTTAGCATATCTGTTAGTTGTTACCCAGTATCAAAGGTTCCATTATGGAACTTAATATGTCTGTAATCTATTACTCATACCAGAGGCTCCATCATGGAGCTTAGCATATCTATCATCTGTTACTCGGATCTAAAGGTTCCTTTATGGAATTGGTTACTTATAACCACCATCTATTATGTATCTATTCTGTATCTGTTCTGTATCTGCTCTGTTAGCACTAATGGATGTACTACGTATGATTAAGCATGAACACTAATTTCTGTGTATGATTTGAACAAGAATATGAACATAGATCTGCTTCTGTTTCTAAAATAAATATGAATTTGCTTTTGAATCTAATATGGGACATCATTCATTTAAACCCTTTTACTCTTTTATTATTTACTAGGCTTTCGCTCACTCTATTATCTATGTATGCAGGTGACCAGGCGCGTCACCAGGCGCAATGATAGCAGCCTGAAGACCTATTTTGTCAGCCACCCTTGTGTCTCCCAAGGAGGTTCCAGGGAAAAAGTTACGTGGTCGAGTTTTGTGAATTAAGTTTAAGACTCTATTTTCTCTTATCAAAATCTGAACAAGTTTTTCGTTTATCTGTATATATGTGTGTGACGCAGGACTAATGTAATCATGACGTCACTGATATGTATAAGAAGTTTTAAATTTCAGTTCCATGTAAGTCTACACAGCTCAATAGACTATATAAGTTTTATATCTGCTTCCGCAGCCCCTTATTATGTGTTAATTTGGTTTGAGGCTTTTGGTAATTGTAACAATCCCACCACGTATAATGATTAGCACTTAATTAATTAAGGAGATTTGAAATTTAATTGCCAATTATTCCAATTTAATCTGAGATTTACGAAAATTATAGAGATTGATTCATTTATGGTTGTATTAAGTATTTATTTTGGAATTAGAAATTGAAAGCCTAAATGGTTCAAGAAAGTATAAATAGTGAATTGAATTTCGAGTATCGGACCATATGGGAAGTTCAATTAAATATTCGATTCAGATTTATAAAATTGAGATTTGATTAATTGGGTCCGAATTGGAGTTAATTAAGTTAAGAGGATTAGGAATTAAGATTATTATAAATTAAATTCATTTATGTGGTGCCTAATTTGAATACGTAATTTATTGACGAAATTTTGAGTCTGATCAGAAATTGAAGGATTAAATGATCTAAGAAACCAAAATTGAGGATGGAAATGAGTTTAATTTAATATTTGGAGCATTTTGGGAGTTTGATTAAAAATCTGATTCGTATTGATAAATTTAAATATATTTAATTAGACTCTAATGGAAGTCAATTAGATTAATTAAATTATGGGAGATTTATGATTAGTTATGGTTAATTTAATTATATGTTAATAAAGACTTATTGAGAATAAGTGTTATTTAATTGAATTAATCTTAATCGTAAATTTAATTGTAGAATAATTTAGAGTTGGAGGATATTTGTGGGTGTGTATGCGCTTAGAAATCTGGGTGTGCAGAGAAATTCAGTGTGTGTGTGTGCGCGCGCGCGTGCGCATGTGAGTGTTGTGCTGGAGGCTTCAAGGAGTGTGCACGTGTGTATTATGAAGAGAGGAGTGTGTATACAAGAGGAGATGTAGAGTAGGCAACTATTCTTTTATTTTCTTGCTGGAAGCATTATTGTGAGGGAAAAGATGAGATTGAGAACCAAAAAAAGAGTATAGCTTCATGTTTATTTTGGGCAAACCCGTGAGAGAGAACCAAGAGAGAGAAGGAAGCAATTTCAGCTCAAGAAAAAGAAAAACTAAGGGAAGAAAAGCTAGGGGGAGCAAGAGAATTAAAAGGGAATCAACTAAACTTCTTGAGATTAAAGTTAAGGTATGAAATCAAACTTAATTTTTTTGTAGAATCTTTACATGACACTTAAAATTAAGAAGAGTTTAGGATCAATTCTATGGAATTTGCAAGGAAATGGGTTTGAACAAGAAAATAAAGCTAGGATTCATAGTTTATGGAAATAAACATGGAAATTGATCATTTTTGGTTTGATATTGAATATCTTGCATGAATTTGGGCCTTATTTCTACATGCATGTAATTTGGAAGAATTAAAGAATAAATATGGGTTTTGATATTAATTATTAACCCATGCATGTAATTTAATCTAAGAGTTTGACTCAAATTAAACATATTTTGGAACATCTATGATTATGAATTAAATTGAGGTTAAAAAAAAATTGAGTTAAGCTTGAGATTAAGGAAATAAGTTTGGGAAAATTTATCAAGTAAGTTTAATTTGTGTTATTCCTCATGAATTTGGACTTCATCTTCACATGCATCAACGAATTTTTAAGAGATTTGAAGAATTAATTTCATGTTTGGGTATAAAAAGAGCAATTTTTGGGAAATTATGAATTCATGAACATTTTAAACTTAATATTGAATTAAAAGAATTTTGGATGTAATTGGTTTGAATTTTGATCCTAATTTCACACATGCAAATATTTTTCTAAGAGTTTTATAGCTTTAATTTCATGTTTTAGATAATCCTCCATGCATCATGAATTAAGAAAGTTTGGAATTAGTCTCATGGATTTTGTAAGAAATAAGGTTTTAAGTCAGAAATTAAGTAGAATCATAGTTGTGGAAATTAATTTGGAAAATTAATTGTTTTGATTCGATTTTGTAGTATTTTCTTGTAATACATGAGTTTTTAAGGGAATTGAGCCATTCAAGTTCATATTTTGAAGAAACAAAGGAACTATTTTAATAAAATCAAGTTTATGGAAATTTGGAATTAATTCTAAAGTTTTGATTTTATAATTAGATTTTTAATCCATGCGTGTAATGTAATTTCAAGAGTTTGGAAAGTCTAATTCATATTTTAAAATTGTAAGTTTGATATACAGAAAATGAGTTAAAACTAAATTTGGACAATTAGAGCATGATTTCGAATAAATGATTTCTAATTGAGAGTGTTTACTAAATTATACAATGGTTCTCCATATTTTTGTACCAAAAATACCAGTTTTGAGGCTTTGAATATCAAATTTGAACTTCAATTACAATTCTGAAATTTCCAAAATTTACATTATCCGCTCGAGCGGGGAAAGTCGAGCTCGAGCGTGAAAGTCGAGCTCCCAGAAGTTTTTTCAAATTTTACAGTCCGCTCGAGCGACCAAAGTGGCGCTCTAGCAAAGACCCTATTTTCAGCATATTTTGAAAAATTGTATTTAGTTCATATTTTTATTCTCATCTCTTTCCAAAGCATTCTAGACATGATTTATGGCTCAATAAAGATTAATAAGTTAAAAATCAACATTAATTAGTTGCTTAAGAGAATAAGCCATTAACTTAGTAGTACTTGATAAAGAAGCCAACTGAGAATTGGTTTATTTAGAAAAGAATGATTTAGTAATAAAAGGGGTTTGTGAAATGAGAACCCGATTTATTTGACTAAAGAAAGAATAAGCGTAGTGGACCTTCGAATTTTTGAGACAGAAAACAAAAAAGTCAAGTTTGATCAAGGAAGTAATATTGTGCTTCAATGTGTATATGTTATGTGTTTGTGTAGGTCACGCGCTATTGTCTGCTTGATCTATCCGATCTGCTTCTGCTACTATCTGTGAGTAATAACTTTGTAAAGTTATGTTCAATGTTAAATATTTTCTGGACATTATGATATGAAATGATTAGTTTATGAAATGCTACGCTACATTTGAAATGAATGAATGATTGTCCAAGCTTCTGAAATGCATTTGTGGCATTCTTAGCGTCATATGATATGCGTCCCTTCATGGATCATCAGGTCCCTTTATGGGTCATCAGGTCCCTTTATGGGTCATCGGAAACGTCTCTGTGCACATGAGTCATCGGAATGCCTTCAAGGCCATCCCTTTATGGGTCATCGGATTTGTTAGCGCTAATGGATGTATCACGCATGATTATATGCAAAAATCTGAATGTGAAAATGACCATGAATATGTATATGAATCTGTTCAATTTTGGAATCTGAATATGCATAAGACTCTGTTTCTGATAAGAATCTGATTTCTAACTCTTTGATGGACATCATTCATTAAACCCTTTACTCTGTTATTATTCACTGGGCATCAGCTTACAGTTTATATGTATGTATGTAGGTGATCAGGGCGTGACCAAGCCTTGAGGCGCTTGGAATCAGTTTTTGACAGCCAACCTATGTGCCTCCCGTGGAGGTTTCGGACATGTCTAATGGTTATGGCTAAGCACATAAGTTGAAGTTTTGTTTTCCTGTTCAGCTAGACAAGTCTTTGTGTATTTTGTAAATAGGGCTAAGTCCATTTTTGTCTATCTTATATATGTATATATATGATGATGTTCATATGTATGTATATAAAGTTTAAAATTTTTCTATCTCATATAAGTCTGCACAGCTCAATGGATGGTGTATGATTGCTATTTGCTTCCGCAACCCCTAATTATATGTTTGTCTGTTAAGAGGCCTTGGGTAATCTAAGGATTACTGGCCGATTACGACGCTAAACCTATAGGGGCGAGTTTGGGTCGTGATAGTAATCCTAGGATTACTAGTCGGTTACGGCGCTAAACCTATAGGGGCGGGTTAGGGTCGTGACATAAATAGTTATACGTGGTACATCCATTAGCTAACAAATCAGATTGGTCATAAAGACCCACGTGCATAGTCGGTATTGACGACCATAATGGTCAACATCTTTGTGCACAAATAGCCATAGGATTATTACTCCCAGGCGAGGACCATGTAAACATAGGCTACAGTATTGTTACCCCCAGGCAAGGGCCACATGCATTTTGGCTATGATATTGTTTCCCCCCAAGCGAGAGCCACATGAACATAAGCCACGGTATTGTTTCCCCCGAGCAAGGGCCACGTGAACTAGGGATGTCACAAATACATTTCAGAAAAATGGACATTCATTCATGATTCATAAAATAGCATTTCAGAAACCAGATCATATCATTTCAGTCATAAAATATTTATAATCAAACATAGCTTTATAGAGTTTGTTACTCACAGATAGCTCCAGCAGCAGAACAAACTGATCAATCGGGCGGTAACACGTGACCTACATAAACACGTGATGGATACACATTGAAGACATGTTTTAAAGGTGTTTACTTATCATTCTTCTTGCTTAGCGTGTGTTTCTAACTCTTATCTTCATTATTGTAGCTTAATCATAGCCTAGGAATGCCTAAGATATAATGAAAATGCAAAGATGCACTTTTGGAACACTTAGCCAAAATTTTGAAAACAGGGCAGTTTGCTCGAGCGTAACTTATGCCGCTCGAGCGATCTGCAAAGTTTGCAAAAGTATTGGGAGCTTAAATTTTACGCTCGAGCCAACTTTTAGTCGCTTGAGCCAAGGTTTAAAACAAAGGGCGGTCGCTTGAGCGCAACTTTTGTCGCTTGAGCCAACCCCCAAACTCTACAAAACTTCTGAGAGCTCGTATTTTACAATCGAGCAAAGGAACCATCGCTCAAGCGATTATGTTGAATTCTGGAATTTCCAAATTGCTCTCCAAGCTTCCAAACACACTCTTTTAGGCCAAAACTTAAGAATCCATGTAAAGACTTATAGAACTTTATGAATTCAAAGTCGTTTCGCAAAATCAAAGCCCTAAAGCAAGTCAATTTTTTGAAATCAAATTTGAAACTCATTGTATAACACATGCATGATAAATCATGATTTCTTTCCTTCCAAAACATGATCAAGTGAGATGAAATGACATGAAATGTGATGAATTTCGATAACAAAGCTAAGATAAACAATTACATGTAAGAATTCTTTGGAAATTTTTCAAAACATGGTGAAATAAGCAGGCATGCATGATTTGTTTCTCAAGTCTACTTCCTTAGCTTAAATTATGCAGTAATCAACTTGATTCTCTTGGATTCTCATGTTAACTAACTTAATGTCTCAAATTCAAGGTTGAATTTCTTACCTAGGCTCTCAATTCTCTTGAATCTTACCAATTCCATGTATGATTCTTCTAATTCTTTCAATTTTCCAAGCAATTCTTCCTCCTCAAGCTTTGATCTCAATGTTCTCTCTTCTCTCCCTCTCCTACATTTTTGTCGAAGAAGATGATGATAATGAAGTGTATATGAGGCTTCTAGAATCAACTAGCCTTATATAGGCTCAATTAGTGGAGAGAAATTAATCCTTTATTAAGCTAATCAATTGGCATTATTTTATTCTAATTATTTGATTCCGAATTGAATTTTAATTAAACTTGCCATAAAATTCTAAAAATTCTCAATTACACATTGACCTAGTTAATTTCGTGTTCTGATGCCGTTAAAGCCTTCAATTCGCATATTGAAACAGAAATTCAGATAAATATTCCTACGTTAGACAGATATAAGCACAATTAACACAAAACATATACAATTAACTCATAATTTCTTCTTAATTACTCATTAAGCATTCTTAATTATGGTTTATTGACTAATCACAGGTCGGGGTTATTACAATAGCAGCCCCTATATATTATTTATTCACCCTTTCTTTTATTTCTTTCTTTATCCCTCTCTATATCTCTTTTTGTGTGTGCATCTTTATATAATTTAATTGGTTAACTTGAACTTATATTTAAATATAAATTTTGCGTCACACTAATTTTTAGTTTTGTTATCAAATAAAAATTAAGTTAAATTGAATTGTGAATTTTGTTAGATTTTAATTCAGTGGTGCCATTTCTGAGTTAAAATCCTGACTTCGCCACTAACTATAATGATGGTGGTGGTGGTAGATATGAGGATGGTGGTGGTGGTAGTAATTGTGATGATGCAATGGGAACTTCTATTTCCATATTCAAAAGTTTTTTGTACACATTTTTTTCTCAATACACATACTTAATGATTATTTATGTCAAAAATGCCTTTAACTTCTTCAACTTTCAAATCTAATCCTAACCCTAGCCACCATTTGTCAAACCCTAACCCTAAACATACAATCCCTCATTTTATCGTTTATCGCCTCCTTTCCTTTTCATCGTAACTTCCCTAGCCTTCATTACAATTACCTAACCTTTTTTTCTTCACTCTTGTGCAGCCTTCCTTAACCATCGCTAGCACCTTGAAATCTTAGATTGAGGAAGAAGACTCCATTTCGTCCCATGAAGACTACCAATGTCAAAAGAATCGTCACCATCAAACACTAACCATCAAATCAATGACTTTTTACTATATACCAAATATTGAACCAATAAGGTGTGCTTGGATATCAACTACCGAACCAATTTGAGTGATGACAGCAAGGTTCATAAAAGTAGGAGACAGCAAAAGGAAGGTTAGCAATAGAGGATGGGGTCGGGTTATAAAGGAGGGTTTACAACAGAGAAAATGGACGATAGGAGAGAAAGTGGGCTAAGAGTTAGTGGCGGAAGAGATAAATAATGTCGGTGATAGAAAATGATGGTAGTTAATGGTTTGTGGCTAATGGTTTGAGTGAAAGAAGATAAGTATATTATAGAATGGTATCTTAATTCAAATTTGTAATAAAACAAAAAAAAATCATTAAGTATGTAGACTGGGAGAAATTGATATGTAAAAATTGACGCTCCCTATGGCAATAGTGAGTGGTGATGGTGGTGATGATGACAATAATAAGGTGGTGATAGTAGGAATGAGTGACTTTGATTCGAAAAACATTTTGCACTTTTAAAAAAACAAAATATTTTCCACCCAAATCAACTTAATTTTTATTGACATGAAAAGAGTTTTTCATTAGCTATTATTTTTTGTCGCACCAAACGTCATATATTTATAAAAATGTTTTTACCGTTCAGAATTTAAAATGTCTAAATGGAAAGTGCAAAATATAATTATAGTTATCTAATTTGAAATTTTGAAATCTTTGAAAAGAAAGTAAAAAAACAAATGTTGATAATATTTTGATGGGTAATTCTATGGTACATATTCTCTTTTGTACCATATCCAAGTTATGTAATTTATGAGTTTGATTATTACGAATGGTATCACTCAATATTATACGAGTTATAATTAAAAAAATTAAGTTATAAACAAACATCATATGAGGTGTAATTAAATAACTTGGATCATAGCCAAAATAATGTCATAATGGATATCACAATGTGACATAACTAAAAACACAATCGTAATCAAAGACACAAAAATCATAATTAAAGGTGCATACAATACACATCAACTTTTCCGTATTATGATAAGGATAATCACATTTGAAACTATCTGACGCGATGTGTTACATATCACTAATGACATAACATATGACATTAAAATACAAATTGACCAGTCCAACATTTAAGCAATTTATCTATTTTCAGACCTACCTTCAAACCATTATTCTAGTCTGAACTATAAATCGTTGTTTTAATTTTTGAATGTAATTATTTTATTTAAAGACTATAATTTAACAATAAATCAATCTACTAATAAAATAAATAAATTATGTGTGTATGAAATAATTGAATCGGATTAATCAACAAGCCAACACCTTCGGCTTAATTGTCTAGAAATTATAGAAGACTATTTGTCACGTGGAGTGTGTATTTTGCGTGAGTCGTGATATTAGTCGAACTGTATATAAGTTGGTCTGGATATCTGATTATAAAATATAAAATAAAAATAAAAAACCTAGCGAAAACTCAACTCCGATTTTAAGTTTTTTGGATAAAAAAACTGCTTGGTTTGAGCATGCTGTTAGCATTAGGAGATGAAATGTATTTATGATTCATCTTTAAAAATAATTTTGTAATTTACCTAATACGTTTTTATATTACATTAACTCTATCATTTCACTATAAGATGGCATCTTTAAATAAATTATTTAATTATAATAAGATGCATCCTACGGTGAGGTCTTACATTATGTTCATTATTTACATAGAAAAATAAATATATATATAAATGTTAAATTTGAAGATACCTGACATAATAATCTTTATTCCCTTTTAAGTAGGTGTAAAATTTTGAAACAAATTATATAGATATAGATATAGATATAGATATAAATAGATTGATAGGATGATTGGAGAACAAACATCAAACAAACTACATACATCTCCATCTCCACGAACGAAGGATCTGATTCGGGGCCAACATTAAAAGCCAAGCTTGGAAACCATTATACTGCAAAGCCATTTTGTCGCAAGAAGAAGAGTGAGTGAGTTACTCACACTTTCACTACCCAAAATAACCCAACCCAGCCCGGATAGCTAAGCCTTGGCCTCGTTTGGGATCATGCCTTTTTAGTAATTTTTTGACTTTTTAGTTAAAATGTAATGTAAAAAAAACTAGTATGTTTGGGATGACTTTTTGGCTTTTTAGAAAAGATGTGCAAAAAGTAGAGAAAAAATGAAATATTTGACTTTTTTATATGAGTTGTTGGTTTTTTTATT